TATAACAGAAGTTCTCCTGAAGATAGTCGTTGTTGTCCAAGCTGCGTCCAATGTGTTTCACTGATTCCAAGCACCTCCAGGTTGTATCTTCTCATTTCTGCAGCAATTTGGAAGACTCTTCCGGTCTCCCACATTGTCCGGACATTCCGGACATACCTATAAAAATTGTCGCTCTGGTTGTAAGAAGGTGCATCGGCCTCATGATTACCGAATGAACTCGGCTTTCATTATGAGACGTCATAATTATTCCTTCTACTCCCAGGGCAGAGTTTAAATGGTTTGAATGATTTTTTCTGGTTAGCGTTTTTTTTAGCGAGTTGATTTTCTACGGGATGGGGTCGCTAACCCCATGCCCAACCCTCCTCCTTTACCCGGGTTTGGGACCAGCAGTAACCCCCAGAGGAGCTACAGGCGGAGTTCAGTGAATTCAATATTGTCTACAAAATGAGTATTCTAATGTTTATCTTAAGACGTTTCATATCATTTTAGCCAAGAATTTGTGGTGAATAGATAAAAAAATATTTAAAGGTAATATGAGTACTACATACAAAAACCTTTTGTATTTGAATAAAAAATCTTGTCTTTCCATAATGCAGTATTATAATACATGCTACAATAAATAATAAGAAATAGCACCAATCTTGTACTAAGTTATGCGAAATTTAGTTCAATGTAAAACTGTTAATCGCTTTGATTGATTTAGATAATTCGGTCAGAAGATGAAGCTTATCAGAACTATGTTATTTATTAGAGAAACTCAATTCATAAGCGAATTCTTTAAAATGTAAATAAGTAATTGCGTTTTTCGAAATGCATTGAGCTAATATGTCACGTAATCTGAATAAAGTTCGTCGGTTTATCACATAATCAGATTTGGTGTACTTCAGTATGCAATAATAATTTCCTATACCCTTAAGTTAACTGTGAACTTTGTATGACATTCAATGATCCAGTCTCGCAAGCAAGTGTGATTATGCAAATGAAATTGAAAAGTGATATATACTTACTAAAACATTAGAATATTAGTATTTTAACAACTACCAGGAAAGGATCTGATGAGAGAACGAAACACCAAGGTCGTAATAAACAACACCGGATATGAAGATATCATGGGACGACATGGACTGACTGGGAGAAAGAAACAAGAAAGACGATAGATTTGCAAATCAAAAAATTGATTATAGGTGACACATTATTCCTATACAAAAGCATACACAAATCTAGCTACATGTGTCTCACCGGACCAAACTACACAGAACCAGATCGATCATATTTGCATCACTAAAAAATTCACTAGGTCAATGGGAGACATGTGAACCAGGAGAGGGGGTGACATAGCTTGAATGGTTGTAAAGATGAAACTGAGGCTAAAGAAACTCTGGTCAGCTGGGGAAACTGCATTACAAAAGTTTCTCATAGCCTTTCTTCAAGATATGACAAACTCAAGCAATTCAAAATAACTCTCAACAACAGGTTCCAGGCGTTAAATGATTTGGTCGAAGAAGAGGAAACTGCTATTGAGGACAACCGAAAACGGATAAAAAAAGCACTAACTTCAACATGTCAGGAAGTGCTGAGCCTCAACAAGCAGCGTCATAAGAAACGCATCTCTATCGAAATTCTGGACAAGATTCAAGAAAGGAAGGACAAAAACACAGCAAACAACAGTCGAACACGAGCAGAGAAAGTCAAGGCACAAACTGAATAAAAAAACAAACAAGTAATATAAGAGGAGAATTGGAGCCGACAAGCAGAAATATGTGGAAGACCTAGCAACGACAGCAGGTAAGGCTATAACAGAAGGAAATATGGAACAACTGCATGACATAGCGAAGAAACTGCAAGAAAAATATAGTAAACCAGAGAGACCGGTCAAAGACAAGGAAAGCAAGCCAATCACTGCGGTTCAAGAATACAGGAACGGATGAGTGGAACACCTTGAAGAACTACTGAATGAGTCAGCTCCGTTGAATCCACCGGATATCGAAGCAGCACACACACGCCTGCCTATAGATGTCACTCCACCAACGACCGAAGAAATCAGCATGTCCATCAGACAAATGAGGAGTGGGTAAAAAGCTGCTTTCGACAATACACCATCTGAAGCAGTGAAGTCACACATTAAAGTAACTGCAAACATGCTTCACACTCTATTGAGGAAGATTTGGGAGGAGGAACAAGTGCCACCGACAGACTGGAAAGAAGGATACCTCATCAGGATAACAAAGAGAAATGTGAGAAAGTGTGAGAACTACACAGGTATCACACTGCTGTCAGTATCAGGAAAGGTTTTCAACAGAGTATTGCTGAACAAAATGAAAGACTCAGCAGACACCTAGCTAGGAGATCAACAGGCTAGATTCTGTAAGGAATTCATACGATCGACTACATTGCAAAGTGGTGCATGGCAGACAGCTGATAGACGTATATCAAGTGAAGAGCAGAGTCAGACAAGACAGATTACTCTCCCTCATTTTATCTTCTGGTAGACGATTGGTTTATGAAGACTTCGATATCAGAGGGAAAGTACAGAATACAATGGACGAAATGGATGCAACTAGACGATTTGGACTTTGCAAATGACCTGGCTCTTCTATCCCATACACACCAACAAATGCTGGTGAAGACAAATAGTGCAGCAGCAGAAGCTTCTGCATCAGTAGGTCTCAACATACACAAAGGAAAAGCGAGATCCCCAAATACAACACAGAGAACACTTACACAATTACACTTGATGCAAAAACTCTGGTGGGGGTGGAATCATTCACATACCTGGACAGCATCATCGATGGACATGGAGGATCCGATGCAGACGTAAAGACAAGGATTTGCAAAGCAAGGACAGCATTCCGACATTTGAAGATTATGTGGAACTCAAAACAACTTTCAAGAAATATCAAAGTCAAAATCTTCAATACGAACGTCAACACAGTTCTACTGTACTCAGCTAAAACTTGAGGAACTACCATAACCACCATCAAGAATGTTCAAGTATTTATGAACAATCGTCTATGTGATATAATCAATGTTTGTTGGTCTGGTACCATCGTCAACAGTCTACTGTTGGAGAGAAGAAAGCGGCTCCTAACTGAAGTGTAAATTAGAACAGGACGTTTGAAGTGGATAGGACACACATTGTGGAACTAACCGAACTGAATCACGAGGCAAGCACTAACCTGGAATTCTGAGGAGAAACGGAAAGAGGAATCTCGAAGGACACACCACGTCGAGAATGGGAAGCAGACACGAGAAGGATGAATAGAAACTGGAGACAACTGGAAGGGATTGTCTTGGACAGAGTTGGATGGGAAGTGCTGGTGGGTGTCTTATGGTTCTCCGTAAGAGGTAAGAGGCCCAAGGAAATAAGTAATTCTTATGAATAATTTATTCATTCCCTCATATGTTAAAATTGTTCATGTTCCGTCTGTATACATCAATTTTTTCTTCCAGACTTTAAGCTGGTAAACAAGTTTACTGTTTTAATGATTAGATTTCAAGTTATCCCTTAATCATTGTAATCATGATTTGGAGGATGGAATTTTGTAAAAATAAAGGGTGTAGTCGCATTTTAAATTAGTTTTTAAACATTCGACAATACCACAACTAATATAACACTAACCGGAGTGAAGAAATATGCTTTTGTGTAATTAACATGTATAAACAACGTAAGTCATATGAACTATAGAACAATAACTTCCAACGGTATGTAGTTTTGAGTTAATGAAATAACGTGAGCATCTATGCCGATAATGCATATGGTAAAGCGCTATAAAAATTGATCTATTTTCTCTAAGTACACATACTTATTATCTTAATAAAAATACTGGATTTTTAATTCGTCTGTAACCAGTTGTTCTATTTTTCTTATATAATATAATAGATTGATATGAGTGTTTCTCAAAAGTATTTTGGCCGTATTACTGAAACAATGTTTCAAAATAAAATGTTGAGGTATTTTCTTGTTCAATGTTCATAAATCATTAATACCTTTCAAGTAAACATATAATTGTTCATAGCTGAAAGCGTAAGTCAATTGAAGCTAGACCACCATGGAAAACCTGGAAACACCGGACGGCCATTTCGTCCTATTATGGGGCTCCTCAGCAGTGCGCATCCACAATCCAGCACTCGCGAGATTCGAACCCAGGGCCTACCAGAGCACTTAACCGATAGACCACTGAGCCGGCATCCAACTGTGTTAATGTCTAACTTCAACTGATCCACGAAGTTGAGCTTTCAACTATGAAAATACTAAATCTCCACAAAACCCCTTCTGATAATAATATAATTTTCATCAACAGTTAATTTACTACCATTACTTATGATCATGAAAAATTCTTTTTTTTACAAATGATAAATAATTAGATTGTTTAGTCGCACTCAAGATAAAAAACAATCTAAATGATTGATCTTTTCGAACTGAATATGTAAAAATTTCGTAATTAATAAAAACTTCTAATATGCGGATCGTTCAATATTGATATCATTTTTATCAACAAAATATTTAAAGTTTCTGGCTGTTTACAAGTGCATGATCACTTGATCAGCAATCAAAATACTATACTTTAAAATGAAATATATGTGAACAAATTGTTTTTAGATCTTAGGACTGCATTTCGACTGGTCTTTGTTGGCACACGCAGATCCCAAGTGGAACACTTAGCTATAATCTTTTTGTCACAGGTTTTACAAGATAGACTGATTGTGGCTAGTATTGGAATCTAGGAGTCGCGTTTTGGCGCTAATTGTACTAGGCTTGAATCCTGGTTTAAACGTGAACACCGAGATTTATGTTTACCCTGAATAGGATGAAACGCGCTCCTTGGATCTCACTGCTGGCCATGATCATCTTGTTTTATAAAATTTTCTCAATAAAACTTTACATTAAGTTATCAGTTGTCAGTTTTCACTGCCTAAATTATTATTATTTTCCAGTGACATGAATATGACAATCTGTTACTTAATATATCCATGTTAATCGTGACACTTTTTAATCTTACCTATAGTTGTAATAACTGTTATCACAAAAAATACTGATTCATAAAAGTTCCAACTACTGTTATTCATTTCTTCTTCCGTTAAAATACGTCTAGCGATTGATTCCAGTTGAGCATTTACTTCAATATTTGTTTCCGAATAGAAATTTTCGTGCCAATTTTCAGGAATACTCAGTAAGTCATATTTACTGATATTTTTAATTGGTGTCATTGATATACCCATTTTTGTGGCCGATACAATATAACTAACAAACTTCTGAAGTTCTTCACCTTGAAGAAGAATAAGATAAATACACAATCTTAGTGATTTAATTCATATTAATAAGTAAAATATTTCTATTTATCATGTGCTATCAACAAAAAAATTCGAAGTGAAAACTCATGTCTGTTGGAGCCTAAAATTGATCATTTTCACTTGTTGATTTCAAAAAATCAATGTTCACAATGACATACTTTACAATTGTTGTTCAATGAGAGTTAAAATTACTAATCATTTCTAAATATGCATCGAAATGGGTTTTTTCGGATGTTATACATTTTTCCGTAATTTCTGTCCAGGTCTTGGAATTACGTGTAATATTAATCTATAATTTTATAATAAACAACCGTAGTTGAGAGAAATAAAGCTTAATCAGCAAAGAAACTATGCGTTTACATGTTTTAAAAGTCATGATTCTTTTATTTGATAACGCTATGTATTTGAATGGAAAATATGTACAAAAAGAGTGCTGACGCGGAGAGACCAAATAACCTTATTGATAAACTACTAATGAACAAGTATGAAATAATTTTTGGGAATTTTAATAACAGCAGTACTGATAACGAAAATGTATTGAAATTCATTACTAAAAAAGTAAAATCTAAGAACTATGTGTGGGTTAAACTCACTATACTGTAAGTTAGTAAGTGACCATTGTAAGGAAATGAGCCTATGTATTCACAAAACCCCATCTCTTGAATACGATTGGCAGTTAGTTGGATACCTTCATGTAAATTAGTTAGGTTATACGTTTGTTACTATTTGTGTTTGAAACTAAAGAGGTATCTTTAAACTTAAGAATTATGTCAGAAGCATAAGGAATTAACTCATGTTCAATATCACATTACTTGTTCAGATCGTAAATGAAATGATGAAACTTTAACCTTTAAAGAATCCTTGAATACAGTCACAAGTACTCTGTATATACAATCTTTGCTTATTTTGTTTCATTTTTATTAATAGCATTTTTTCTTAAAATTTCTTATTCTATAGAATGGTTTATTAATGATACCTAAGTGATTCATTAACTTTTAAACTACTACTAATAATGAAATCTAACACAAAACCAAAATTACTGTATAACAAATATACATATATTACTTGATACACATGGATTAGTCCTCAAAAAATTGATTTGTGAAGCGTGCAAGCGCAATCTTTCTACTCTTTCTGTTGGTCTTTCTAGTAAGGTTAGACAAAGTGCACCAAGACAACAAAATGATATATAGGCCATGATGAATAAAAATAACGGGATTTTTCTATAACATTCTGAGTGTTTTGAGGTTGTTTCACTATTGTTCGAAGACGGTATTGAGTTATTGTCTTGCTTTGGCCATTCGTCTTCATGATGATCTTGGTTACCAATCATAGTCAGATCATAAGTTTTTGGCAGGAATTCGCTTTTTTCAGCAACTAAATGCCTAAACTGAAGAAAATAGATGATTTGTGTGATATGTCTGGTGTTTCTTTTTAAATTAAGTTTAAAGATACCTAAGTTATCAAAATTTTGATATATTATGTTGCATAATACTTCCCAATTAATATAAGACTGTTTTATGATGAACATAAACAGAGATATTCACTAATAAGTAGCATTTTCTTCTTGTTTCATTTAAACAAAAAGTACCTTTATAAATTATAAGCAACAAGTGACATCGATTAGAAAGATTAGCTATGACTTAAAAAATATTTGTGATCAGTTGGCAGAATTTTATGCCAGTTTTTTAATCAACTAAAAAATCAAATTAAAATTGTAGTTATTTATTCAACGCATATATCTAATTTTGGTAACATACCAGATTGTGTTGCTCGTTTGGATATAGTCAAATGAAACTATGAACCTATTTTTCGTTCTAGTTAGAACCCTTCATTAATGTTTACATAAAAAAGTGAGGAAACTGATTCTCTCCATGGGTTCCAATACACATCACCCAGCTTCACAGACAAGACTGACCTCCTGTGGGACTGACACATTAACAGTCGACTCATCAGTGAGTAATCACAAATATCATACTTTTCTAGCCCTTTAAGGATGATTGAATTCGATCGAAAAGCGTCAATATCTTGTGTAATTAAAATTTGTTCTTAGTAAAAAAAAAGTTCATTCAAGTTGTAAATAGGAATGATATGATAAATAATTTCAATGTTTTTTTCAATTTATCTAGTGGTACATAAACACTACCATTACTACTAATCAAAACATTATTTACATAGTTGGCTATTTAAGTAAGCTAATAAGGCAGGGGTTATGAAAAGTAGAAAATGAATGGTCAGCCTGATATAATCAGTGTCTTTAAGCACGTTACACAGTAGAGAAGATCAAATGTAGCGTAATGCAAACAAAGGTTGAAGATAAAACATAAAATAGACTTATTGGAAAGTGTTTCTATAACAAACTACTGGTTCTATGATCTCATAAGTATAATGAGTGTATGTACGAATCCAGTTACTTATATTGAATAACTTATTTGAGTACTACGATTTCTAATAATCGAATGCTTATGAACTTGTTTCAGAAACACCAGGTGAAATTTCTTAAATTTTGTTTACTGGTTTATTTAATAAACACAGGAAGCCGGATATATATAAAGTTGAATCCCTGGAATTCACTGTCCACCAATTATGTTAGGAATCAGTATCCGTCAACCCTATCCTCATACATAAGACAACAAGTTTGCTGAAGACAGAACGATGTCTTTTTGATTTCCTCACCTGCGTTCACAGTCTTGGTAATTTTGACTTGCTTCTTCATTTAACACATCTTAAATTTGGTCTTAATTTGTACGAAAGAAAAATATTATGTTTGTTTAATGATAGTTTGGTGATTCTTGGTCTATGAGATTCACATCCTATAAGTGCTTCACATGCTTTTTGGATAGCATCATGGCAACTCCCTGAGTGTGTGGATCATCTTCTTTTTGTGATCACAGTACGGAAGCGTCTCTCCCGAATATATTCTTTTCTGCCCAACTTCTGTCCAGTGTGTTTTACTTATTTCAATCACCACCCGGTTGTATCTCCTCATTTCTGCAGCTGTTTGGCTAGTCTTCCCGGTCCAACACATTGTTCCAACACTCCACGTACCTCTATTTATTGTGTCTCTGGTTGTTAGAGGAGGCATCGACCTTCTGATCCCCGAAGAATATCGGCTTTCATCACGAGGCCCTATAATTCTTCCTTCAACTCGGAGGACACGGTTTAAGTGCTTTAAATTTTTCGTTATGGTTAGCGCTTTCTTAGAAAGATTGTTTTTTGGGGACGAGGATGCTGATCTCATGCCAAAATTTCCTCCTTTACCTTGGCTTTGGAGCGGCAGTATAAGCAGAAGAGATGCAGTTGGATTTGTAATCAATACCCGTTGTACAGATACAGGGACTTTTATCTTTACCGGCGAATTGTTTAACAGTCCGACCATTTATTTTAAAATACTATTTTTGTAAACTGCACAACAGTTTTTGTAACCTCGTGCTTTTATAAATGGGATTGGTATCTGAATGGATACTTTTACTCTTACATGTAATTATCTATAATTTGTAGACACACTTAAAGACTAAGTCATCTCACAGAATGAATATTGAGCAAAATTTAGAAACCCATCGTCACATCAAGAACGTTGTGTGTTAGCTTGATTTATAGGTTGACCATTTTGTAGCAGTTTCCTCTTACACAAAAATAACGGATCTTTAGGTTCCTGGCATTTTAGAATACAACTTTGACATTTATTAGTTAAAAGAGGACATGACAAAACGGTCATAGTATTTATATTAAATCAATTCAGAGTCACAACCAAAATGTTTATAGGTGTCATTACCAAGACTTGATTTGATAATTTTGAATAAATTGAGCATTGGGTAGATTGTTATAAATAAATTATATATTTGTAATATCCCAATGAGTAGAAAAATTAGATTTTCTGACGTTTCGTGACTCAGTGTAAGCCACTTCTTCAGAGAATAAATAACCAAATTAATATTAATCCAAGTTTAAATAGTCTTTTATTTACAAAATGTTTATGTTCCACATGATCAAAATAGGCAAACAACAGTCCATTTCGACTCAGATTTATTGGTAAATACTATCATGTAAACACCAGAACATTTGCATTTAATCATTAATTTTACTTGTGTAGAAATATGGTCTTATGTTTCTAGTTTTCAACCAATTGATATAATTTTTAACTTTATATTTTTTTGATTTCACATTAGTTTCCAATTTAAGATATTAAAATGGATCACCTTAATAAAACACGTCAAACGAAACTATAAAGATGTTATAAACAAAGCAGATCTTGTTGTTCAGAATTACAAAAACTTTTAAACAAATTGTTTCAGTAGCTGTAATTATCACCAGTTTTTTTAAAACTGCGCTAGTGGATAGATATAGTAATAATATTTATAATAATGGTAATGAGGCGCAACCGTTCTTAGAGCCATTTTACTCAAGTGTGACCCTAACGGTTCTTGGGGCTACTCAGTGAATGCAGAAAAACGTTTATCAGCATCTATCATTCCCAAATCTTTTTATTATAGCCACACAGTTACAAAACACTTGTTTTGTATTATCGATAAGACACAACAAAAAGCCAAAAGCTATTTAAGAACATGTTCATTTACCTTAGGGTAAATTCATGAAAGTCAAAGTCAGTGCAATGTGTTCGATAAATGACTAAGTGATCCATACTGTACACCTTTATTGAAATGCTTGCTACACTGCTCAAAAGCGTCGCTATATAACCGGATAATTAAAGTTGAGGAATAATAATAGCCAAAGCTCACCCATACCTCTGACTGTGTCGAGACACTGTTACGATAATGTGTTACCTACGGATAACCAATCGCAATAGTCATTCAGTTTCTTTTTCAGCATTTTCTAGAAAATAGTCTTTCATTTTATCTGAAAACGACAGATTTTAGTCACTCAGGACCATACACTATCACTAAAATCCACATTTCTTACCATCCAATTTCCATCATTTAGTATGCATTTTATAATGTTTCTGTTATCAGTAGTTTTCTGTTTGCTTTATCGTGATATACGTGGAGCAAGTGCCAAGAATTCGGATTTACGATGTAATATTTTTCATGCCTTTAAATCTGACCCCAAACAACAAGTTTCAATATTTTCAAAAGATTCAGATTTTCCAATTGAGGTCCACGATGCACCCACAGTGTGGAGTTCAAGGCTGTGGGTGTCATAACTGATGACTGAAAACGATGCTTGTGAGTTCATTATTTAATTTCTTTTGGTACTTGAATTTAAAACTACAGCCCACTTTTAACATACCGGTTTTTTTCAAATTATAGAATCATGGATTGCAACAATGCGTGATTTGGCTTCGAGTCTAACATGAAACATCAGTTTTCTTAAGACTGAAGGTATGCTTCGATATCTAGTGTCACCCGGAAAAAAGTTATGTTCAGACATCAAAGCACAGTACATACAATATAGAGTCACTAAAAACATTGCCCGAATTCCAACCCAGTCCATAAGATTCTGTTATCTTTAAGTAATAAGCAATCACTACAGTGATAATAAATCAGTTGTCAACCCGTAGGACTTAAGGTTGTCCAAAATACACTTTTAAAGGCTAATTCCTAGTTTTGAGTGTAACCGAGGCTAACTGGTTAAATTAAACAGGCACGCTGAGTAAAGAGCTAGACGCTAAAAAGCAACTTTTGAAAGGTATTATATTATAAAACAGAAACTAACAAACTAGGATTTTTCAATGGTACCAACTTAAACAACAAATATTCTGGAATTTTACTCGAAATTATCCCTAAAACTCCTAATTTGTTAAACGATAAGAAAAATATACCTTAAAATTTACCTTGTGTGACTGAGTCAAAAATTTATGAAGGTTTCAAGTAGGATCAACTGCTTTTCAAATTTTGAATAAAACACGGGATATGAAAAGTTTGGTCAAAATCCACAGGTTGTAATTTACCTGAACTTGTTTTTAAAATCTCCTTAGGAGGGATTTTATTTCAGCTAGAAAAGCTTTTTCTAAATAATAAGTGGCATAATCATGTGAAACGCAAATATCAATGGGCTTTTAATAGAAAAAAATACACCTATGTTACATCACGTATACGAAGACTGAAGACTGATCACGTATACGAACGGAGAGTCTGTTCACCGTTAAATAATTCAGCAGCCAATATAGTCACCCTGTGTAGCTTTAAGTGAGACAAACATGTCCGCGAACACTTTTTTGTCGAAAACGCCATCAGCTTTAACTTTATTCCTTCTATGAACGGAGAAAAATATGAAGAACCAAACAACTAAGAAGTAAAATAGGTGGCTTCGGTAGCTAAATAACAGTGGAATTCTTTTCTCCTTATTCGTGATATGAACGCCTCCAGCTATTTGAGTAATTTGAGTTCAAATGAATTCTCAAATAACTAGACTCAGGGTATTAGAAATCGTAAATCAAACAAAAACTGTCCTTCAAATTTTAACAGTGAGACAATATGATAGACTGAAATCTTAATCATATTAAACATATATCAAGTGTACTCGTCTCGAAAAATTATTTACTCGAAGAGATTGAAGATCAAATTGTTCTCACGTCAAGGTTTCCCCTGACATATTAACGCGAAAAGAGCTTAAGTAATCATAAACGTGCATGAATGAAGGCTTAACGGAGTTATTTAAAACAAAATGTCCACAGCCAAAGGGTATATGGTGAATGTTATAACACAGCTATTATTTAGGAACTTTCGGTTGTCAAATACCTTTCTAAGTTACTCGCACAGCTTAATGAATATCATTGTTACTTCTGAAAAGCAAAGTACAATTCTGAGCAAAATGTTTACTACTACTTAACAAGGTCTCAAGGTTGGAGTAAAATCAAACTTACAATTGAGGGATTTTTAGCAAAATATTATGTGCTACATGAATAGAAGAAAAGTAAGATAATAAAGTCATCATTTGAAAATGTTTTGAATTCCTAACTGTAAAATCACAAATAAATTTCTAGAGGTTGACTAATTTATTGTATAATTTTCGAGGTAAAATGATTGCGAAGATCACCGAGTTTTTTCGCAGTTGAACTTTATTTTATATGGTTAGAACATAATAGATAGGTTTGAGTTATGCACAAGCCATTCCGACTGCCATTTTGATGATCTATTACTTTAAATATCTTTGATAGAGAGAGCTCAAATGGTTCAAATGGTTGAGGACGGAATAGAAGGAGCTTTCGCTTAACGGGCTCCCGTGTCTGGTAGCAGTGGATCACCAATACCTCCAGGCAAGAACCGAGGTATATGAACGATAATAGAGGGGGAAAAAGAATTTGGTAAATCATAATAAGATGTTATCCTTAGTCCTTAAGAATAAGTCAAGTTTCCTCTTAAAGGACACCTGTGAAGTCGCTTGGATTAGCTGAGTCGGCAGCGAATTCCACCACTTGACTACTCTAACGGAGTAGAAGTTGTGTCTGCAGTCTGTTCTGCTATGTAGGGTCTCCAATTTCTGCGTGTTACATTTCAGGTTAGTGTTATGACTAAGCGTAAGAAGATGTTTAAGGGGATGACCAGAAGTATTAAGGATACTATAAGTCATAAGATCACCTCTAAGACGCCTGTACTTTAATGGGTAAAGGTTAAGTGATTTGTGGCGCTCTTCATAAGGTTTGAATTTGAGTCCCCGAACTGATTTCGTGGCTCGACGTTGTATACGTTCCAGAGTGTCCTTATCCTTTTAGAGGGATGGAAGAAATACTATGTTTCCGTACTCTAAATGGAGACGAATAAAACTGTTGAAGATTATATGGAAGTTTCTACCGTCAAACTGGCCAAAAATGCGCTTCAATGTTACCAGGATCTTCTGGTCTCCCACATTGTCCAGGCATTCCATGTACCTATAAAAATTGTCGCTCTGGTTGTAAGAAGGTGCATCGGCCTCATGACTTCCGAATGAACTCGGCTTTCATCATGAGACGTCATAATTATTCCTTCTACTCCCAGAGCACAGTTTAAATTGTTTGAATAATTTTTTCTGGTTAGCGTCTTTAGCGAGTTGGTTTTCTACGGGATAGGGTCGCTAACCCCATGCCCAACCCTCCTCCTTTACCCGGGTTTGGGACCGGCAGTAACCCTAGAGAGGATTTCTAATATTGTGTGTGCACCTTTCCATACGTAAATATGTCTTTCATAGCAGAAATATTTGCCAAGGCAGACGCAATACGTACACAAAAATCAGTCCATAGGAAAAACAAACTATCAAACTTAATGATGACTCCTTCTCATTTATGAAACTCTTTCGGCACAAACTTAGACGTTTTTAAATCGAAAAGCAAAAATATTTGTTAGGGACAATCACGTATATGAAAATCTAAAAGTTACTACAAAATTTTGTGCTCCATTTACTAACATAAGACCACCAAGTGAGTCGGAGACTATCTCATTGCCTTTCTGTGAATTATCAAGATGGACTTTGATGTACATAATATTTCTAAGGCAATTAACACGCTGACACACTACTATACTGAAGGGCCAAGTACTTTTCTAGCTAGCATTCAAAATGGTAAGTGATGTGTGTTATATTTCTTAAACTATTCGAAATACCACTATCTACAGAGTGTTATCATACTGCCTAGAAAATTATACATATCATCCTCGAAATTAGTTCAGAACCTGCAGCAGACGTTGAAAATTACAAGCCCATAAACACGGCTTCTCTGGTTTCTAGAGTGATGGGAAAAGTACTTCAGGAGGCTGCATTTCAACATAATCTTACTAGTAACTTCTTTTCGACCCACCAGCATGAGTTTTTGAGGTTCTCGTCATGATAGACATGCCTGGTAGACTACATGAACGACATATCTATGAAACGAAACTACGAGCCCCTTGTATAATTTCTATTCCTAAACCTTGAGAAAGATTTCGATTAGGTTCCAGACAAAAAGCTTCTCGTCAAATTGAAGTACACCGACATCAATAATATACTATATTTGAGATTCGCTTAATTCTTAACAGAGCGTAAGCAAATGGTAGAGTGAAACGACTCTTTCATCACCAAGATCAATAACTAGTGTATTTTGCACGTATATAAATGATATGTGTAAAATAGTAGAAAACCATACTTATATGCCTATGATCTCAAAGTAGTATATAACTTCAAGCCAGGACTACAGAGACATCACTCTTCTCTTAATACCAGGAAAAGTCTTCAACAGGGTATTGTTAAACAGAATGGAGGACTTCGTAGACATCCAACTTCGAAATCAACAGACTAGATTCCGTATGGATTGACCGTGTACAGACCAAATCACAACTCTACGGATCATTGTGGAACAATCAATTGAATGAAATTCATCACTCTACATCAAATTCATTGACTAAGAGAAAGCACTTGATAGCGTGGAGAGAACAACATTATGAAGGCTACTCCGACACCACGGCGTACCGGAGAAGGTAGACAGTATCATACGGAATACATATGATGAATTAAACCGCCAAATCATCCATGGAGAACAGTTGACAGACTCGCTCGGAGTGAAGACCGGTGTTAGGAAAGGTTGCTTACTCTCACTCTTCCTCTTTCTCCTGGTGATCGACTGGATCATGAAGACGTCAAGATCTGGAGGAAAGCACGGAATACAGTGGACAGGTAGGATGCAGCTGGACGATTTACACTTCGCAGATGATCTGGCTTTTCTATCACACACGCAACAACAAATGCAGGAGAAAACGACCAGTGTAGTAGCAGCCTCAGCTGCAGTAGGTCTCAATATAAACAAAGGGAAAAGTAAGACTCTTCGATACAATACAACATGCACCAATCAAATTACACTTGACGGAGAAGTTTTGGAGGATGTGGAAACCTTTACATATCCGGTCAGCATAATTGATGAACACGGTGGATTTGATGCAAATGTGAGTGCGTGGATCAGCAAACCAAGAGCAGTATATTTAGAACTGAAGAAAATCCGGAGCTCAAAACAATTGTCAACCAACACCAAAGTCAGAATTTTCAATACAAATGTCAAGACAGTTCTATTGTATGGGGCGGAGACGTGGAGAACTACGAAAGCCATTATCCAGAAGATACAAGTGTTTATCAACAGCTGTCTACGCAAGATACTTCGGATCCGTTGACCAGACACTATCAGCAACATGTTACTGTGGGAGACAACAAACCAGATCTCAGCAGAGGAAGAAATCAGGAGGAAGCGATGGAAGTGGATAGGACACACATTAGCGAAGTCACTCAACTGCATCACAAGGCAAACCCTCACATGGAATCCTGAAGGCCAAAGGAAAAGAGGAAGACCAAAGAACACATTACGCCTAGAAATGGCAACAGATATGAGAAGAATGAACAAAAGCAGGATTGAACTAGAAAGGAAGGCCCAGGACAGAGTGGGTTGAGGAATGCTGGTCGGCGGCCTATGTTCCATTGGGAGTAACAGGCGTAAGCAAATAAGTAAATAATATATAGGGAGGGGGATGAATCATCGAGTGATATTTAGGCAGTCAACATTTTAGCTAGTGTGTCATGTGCTCTAGTGATGCTAACAGTACAAAGAAATATGAGAATTGCTAGTTTTCAAATGACATTGTCTGTTACGTCAGTTAATAAAAGAGCTTAACAAGAGTTAACAATGAACAAAATTGGTTGTAGGATAGTTGCTATACACTGACGGTCTACTTCAAAGCAACCGCGACTGTTATTGAGCATTCTGTAACTTTAGATATCATTCCAACACTAATCTCACATTTCCGGTGTAACGTATTCTGAAGTGGTAAATAAAAATTAAAGTTACAACACAATCTAGTTTTTCGATATAAGTTACGTCACAATATGGCAAGTTCATTGAATACATGAACTCAAATATGTTAGTTATTCTGGCCTACGACACACTTATTTGACGTGACAACGTGGAGTATATTTCTACTCTGAAACTGTCCTTTTAAATAGTGCACCAAATCATTAGCATTTTCGATTTACGGAAACTATGTTGAACGTTTTTATATGAGTTTGGAAGGCTAGAAATGTTTGTGAAATTGTAGACTTAAATGATAAATTGAGAGAGTTATCCACAACTAGCTACTGTTATCGGAAAATTGCGGCTCAGCTTTATACACGAGATAAACAACACATATATAGTGAAAGGTAGAGTTTCAATGAATGACAAATGTCATTATTGGTCATCGTTATATTGTCGATGATCTAAGTTTCAACTACACTGCTTTTGGTTGTCGTGACCTTGACGTACGGTCAACAGATAGGCCTGGTGGTGTCTGTTCGCGTGCGTTGTAGTGTGGGATAAAGGAAGATGGTTCTAGATTTTAATTATAAGGTTGTTTGAGCGTTTTGGCTGCTCAATCAAAGCGTCAGTCCTGGTAGGTAATTTCGCAGACCTAAATATATGTAGACGAGCCTAACAGTATATATTATGACTATAATCATAGTAGTAAGTCTCTTGTCAAGAAACGTTGGGGTATCCGACATTTAGGGCCAACTTTCTCATCTCGAGTTCCAGATCCATGATGAATGTGGTCTCGTTTCCACGTCCAACGTTTTTCAGTCCACATCCTTTTCTGGCCCACAAAATTGTTAGTTGGGGTTTGTTTAACATAGAAATTTAATCTGAAGCATTAGGGAATTCTGGACACAGCCTTGTCTCATCCACCAGGCAAAAGTATAACCTATTTTGTGAAACAGTACATTAGAGCTGCATAAAAGAGGAGGTTTTCTAACAGGAAGTATTTTCTAGTCAGGTGTAGGGTAATTATCTCTAGAGAAAGCGTAATGTATTGTTGTCTGTTTTACATGCTATACCTTCAGCGTCTTTTAGCATCTGTTTTTTGGCATGAAGTCTTCACAGTTAATGGTCATCAATGTGACCATAATTTAATCCCGCATCATCAGTCTTCGGTAGTATGGATAAGCGGTAAATCGATCTATTTTAATCCTTGCAGTTTGTAGCACTATGGAGATCCAATCTCGCTTTGTATTAACAAAACGTGCTGATATCACGTGTCCTAGTAATTCACTACCCGGTGCGAAAAACAACGCCAGACTTAAACGATTTGATCTCGGTTTTTAAACTCTCTTACAATGTCCTCAGACGATCAGCCCTGGATGGAAGGAAAAGATGAGACATGTTAATACCAAGATTACCGTTGAGTATACAGTGAACCAGTATTAAATTACCCCATAACCTGCTGTAAGATAAAGGAAATAGGTTAAGGCGTCTTAGTCTGTCTTCATAAGATGGGCCAACGAGGTCTTCCACCATTTTGGCCCGTCGCCATTGGACTCATTCTAACATATCCGTCATCTCCAAAGAGTAGAACAGATGACTTCGGTACAGTTGGTAAGTCATTTACATACCGTAAAAAAGGCCCGAGGATTGTACGTTGGGTTACGCCACTTCCTAGTGATTCCCATGTTGATAAAGCCTATTTACCCGTACCTGTTGTCTCCTATCATTGCGAAAGTCACTTATCCACTTTACAATTTCATAATGGATCCCAAAACTTTCCAATTTTAAGACCTGTGTGAGAGACCTTGTCGAAGACTTTACTTCGACCCGTGAATATTAAATCTGTCAACATACATGCAATCCAAAAAAGCCTTTTCTAAAAGCACGTTTCCTGGATAAAAGATTATTCTCTTCCACATACTTTAGAATAGCCAGCCCCCAAATGCCCTGGTACGGCCGAGAGTGGGGAAAGTCCACTCTCCCTCTCGAAATGCTCTCACATGGCCACGCGAATATATAGCCCCTGACAGGGAAGTCCTACTCACTGCCTTCTCGTGGCGGGGGTGTTGTTTACGAAAGTGAGAGGACGAAAAGCGAATGTCCGGCGCTTTAACCGGGTTGGTGGACATAGAGGGTCCACCTAGGGGAGTTGGAAAACCCTGCTTCGGTCTGGCACCTGGGCAGTATCACAGCCCTCACACAAATCAAACGAGATTTGTTAGGCGCATATTTATTTGGTGCTTTTTGTACCAATATCTATGTGTTTAAATAAATAAAGTTTGACAATCACAAACGGGTCGATAGTTATTAAGTCTCTATTCCGTTCATCTGTTTACTCTAGGTTGATTATTCAGTTTCTAGGTGAGGGATCGGTTCCTAAAGATCAGTCATATGTGAAATAGATCCTGGAACATGTGCATCGGCTCAAGTTACCACGGCACTTTAGTACAGCAAGATAAAATTGTCAAGTAAAATTCTAGAGTAGTAAAGGTTGTAAGATTATCAGTAGTAGCATAAAAGATTAGACAGACAATATGATTCGGGAGAACGGATTTACACACTAAAATCCATAAGATTTAATTGAAACGCAGGGCCTAGGGAAAGAGTGGACGCATGTACGCATCTGCGGCTTTGTCGTATTTAGTACTATTTCAAGCCCACGTAAATTATTTCAGCTTTTGGACATTATATACACATATACCTTGCCAGTTGTTCACTTGTTACCTTGATCGCCTCTATATGAGTGTATCTGTTCCTGTATTTTTTTATCACTTACTCTATTTGTCACATATCTTTTTCTGTCTAACTATAAATGTTGAGTCACGCTCGATAAAATCGAATAGGCTGGGAATCCTTTCTCCATGTTGTAATTCTTACCGTTTGTCTGCGTAAGTAAAACAAATCCTTATTAAATTTGTATTTAGCTTTTACCACAATCGTTGCCCAACAGGGTTAGCCTAAGTATGGTGTTCAAGAATAAATGGAGTATTTATGTTTCATGGTTTGTTCACTGTAATTCATAATGGAGTCAGAACGTTGGCGTAAACAATTCTAAGCCATGTCATTTAACGTTTCCAATCTTTGGTTACGGTAATCGCGCGGAGCCCAAACAATCTGTCCGCGAAATCTTAACTCGGTCCAACCGTCAGTGGCTTTATGATCTAATGCCACGTTTTATTTACGCCGTCTTCAATCTTGTTCCGACCGATTCCTACATCAGCAAACACCCTTCGTCGAGGTGGGTGGTGGTTTAACATACAAACGTTACGTCTCAGTCAACGAAGACAGCCTCATCCACCATTTAGCTATCCCTACTTGGTACCCTGTATCTATCCTCTAAATTCCTAATTAGGTGGTCCCACCGAACACGGGGAAAGCTTCAAATGTACTTACGATCAAATACTAGCAACATAAGTATCTATTTTTAAAGGACACGCTTCAAAACTATAACGTGGAACGATGGGTACTGCAGTGTAGCAAACTCGTCCTTTGGTTAGCAGACGGTAATATTGCCCACTCCTCAAGCCAGCGAAAACCAACTTAAGTTTCTGAATTTGTACCGTGATTCCATCGAGTACCGATCCTCCATGGATGACGAAACTTCTTAGATAGGTGATGTGGACCAAACAAGTACTCTGTCATTAATTTGGGTTTTGTCTCATTTTGTCTTAATAACTATTCTGGCCTTGTGGGATATTATCACTAACCCATTGGGTGTTATATGTCTGTGCGCTTTCCCTTGATCCATACTGTCAGTGTCAGGGCTCGTAAAACTACGTGATTGCAAAGTTCGGACCTGTGGCTTAGTCAAACGCGTATACCACTGAACCACCGCCCTGAAAGTGTTCATCAGTATACCAGGCTGCATGTGTAATTGTACTCTAAATACCTACAATTGATGCGTTCATCTAGGAAAGATAGATTTTATTTGATTTATTCACATATTCGATGGCCTCGTTCGTGCTGTTATTCAATAATTTGTTTAGTGTATTCCAGTAGTTTCTTTACTGGGAATTTTTGAATTATACATAAGTAAATGAAACCACGCTTCCTATGCCATTTCGCCTGCCTTTGAAATCATTGGTCAACAAATTTTGTTGTTCAGATAATTTTGTCATAATTTTCAATACTAAATCTTATTTTTCAGATTTTGGAAGTATGACTGGTTCACTTCAAAAAAAGTTGAATGCACACTGGGCGAGGTGTGTTCCTGATAAACGACTTGCAATTCAGTTACTTCGAGTTACTCCGTTTATTTTTATGGCAAGTCGATCAACTATGGGCAGCCTTCTTTGCTGTGACGTAGAGGAACCTTTTGCTGTACTGTCTACATCATCTAATCAAGTAAAAAGTTTCTTGTAATTCGATGTTTCTAGTATCCTAGGATCTATGATGGTAACTTATGGATTAGTGCAAAATTCGTGTCCTATGTACGCGACCCTTTACCCAAGTGCAGGTATATCTATAATATTTGCTTTTCTGCTAGCACAGGCTTAGTCGCCGTATACGCGTTATCGAAACCTGCTATTGGTTAATTAGAATTTTGAGCTATTCTATTCAGTATCTTGAGGAGAAGGTTTTTTTTCATTACTCAATAATATGATCATCTTTCAGAAGGAGCACTTTGCTTTTATCGAATCTTTTTCAATTATCCAGGAATTTCATACCAATGCAACAGTTTTCTCTCAGATGATTGGAGTGTGAGTTTTTATATCAAGTTATTTATAAATGAGTGACTGGATCATGTATATAGTCGTGTTATACAGAAGCAAGGCATATGGATAGCAGATTGTTTACTGGTTTAATCCCACGTGTTCCTGCCCCATTAAGCCTTTCCGTTTATACATTTCTGATAATGACAACACACCAAACGGTCAACCGATAGGCCTAAGGTGCGAACCCTGCCTCATCTCCGGTTTGCTCAACCATGTAATATCTCTCGCCCTCACGCTAAACATGAGTGACTCAAAGCCGAATACATTAGTCTTGGTAAACTCGTTGCAATTGTAATATGACGTTAGTGATTCCTGGTCTTCTTGGTAACTTCCTTCAGGCGTAACAAGCTGTTAGCCGTAGGTCGTTTTTGATTTAACTTTTACTTAGTCAGCAATATTCTATTTTAAGTATAGGGTTGTGGAGATTATTGAGTTTCGTTAAAATCATGAATTGGTCAGTGTTACATCGCCACTAAAAAACTGGAATCACTGGGATCTAACAACAATGGAAGACGGTCGCTCAATGTCGTGGATTGATGCCCTCTCAGTGGTCTGGAAGTTGAGCGTTCGCGCGTGAGACTAAAAGTCCTGGGTTCAGTTGTCGCGTGCGGGGTCGTAGGTGCGTACTGCTGAGGAGTTTATACTAGGACAGAACGGCCGTCTAGTGCTCCCAGGTTTTTAGTGATTTTCTAACATTGATTGACTCATGATTTCAGTGAATATTTAATTTTGTTTTACGCTCTATAGATTGAACAGTGGTTTCGTTCCGTCTTATTGAACTATCAAAATTTATTTATTTAAAGTGTTGAACAATGTATCTGGTATGTTCCTGTTGTATAGTCAGTTGTTTTTAGAGTAATCACGGGGCAATTAGTTTTTAGATGTATCATACTATTTTCTCAGAGCAAAACTTTCATTTTATTTTGACTCCGATAAATGTCTGTGTATCAACTATTTTAGGACTGAAGCTATTGACAACACGAATAAAAACCATATTCTTTCACGGTAAGTCTCTATGTATTGTTATATTTACCTTCTTAGTTCACCAGTACGGAAAAAAACCATACCCAAGAAGAAACGTGTTGGTGCTAATAAAAATAAATGGTATGAACTATATTTAATTGATTACCGATGATAAATTGTTTTCTGTCAAAGAAAATATGACTTGAATTTCCATTAGTGGTTTGCATAAAATGAATGAATCCTACGCTGAAATTATATATTGGGATGTGTTGAGTTAGCCATATGTATACAGAGCAATTAAATAGCTATACCAACTGAAAACATTACATGCGGCTTGACCCGATGGAGTTTTACTTGTAGTATGTTTCATGAGTTGTGGGTTACGCACCAATAAAAGATACCCTCTGATGAAACCTATGTGGTTGAAGCCTTGTTATTCACTGTACGAATTATTCCTACAAGGAAAGATTTCAGGAGGTGGTTATTTCCATGACTTGTCAGTACTTTGTGCCTTTATACTAAAACCTGTTACGGCGTCGTTCGTTTCGTTAACGGACTCCAACAATTTCCTATTGTGGAACTAGTATTAGCTACTGGTTATGTCACCTGAACGGAATTTTTTTTGATTGAATTGTCGTCTGTACTATGCTCGCAAACCAATGTTTTAAAACAACTAAATTTATTTATCGTTCTAAATAACTTTGGCCAATTCTCAGTTGACTCAACTGAGAATACCATTTTCTGTGTTCAGTTTGTTTTATAACTGGATTTAGAAGAAAACACTTATTTTTTTGACCTAATTCTTGATTTTATTCTATCAGTGATTTTCCCAGATCATGCTCTAATATACATCCGACAGAAAATCCTCCTCAACACTACTTTCCTTTAAAACCATCGCCTAAAACATCGTTTATTGTTGATAGCTTGCCTGGTGTTTTCGCTGTTGACAAGCCAACAAATTATATAGTCACAAATTCTCCAACAGTTATTGAAAATAAAGAAGTGAGTTTTTCTACAAGTTTTTTTCCACATTCGAATGTAATTTCCCATCTCATTGTTTAAAGTTTTATCTCATATTGTATCTAACAGTGTATTAGTGATTATTTTAGCAGTTTTAAGAAAATTTTATCCATTCGCTTGGTTCCCTGTACGAATGTAGACAAGGGAAAATACAAATTTTGCTAAATGGGCTGAGTTCTTTATATTTTGTTTTTTAGTTACACTTGAGATAATTTGGGCTAATCACTAAAACGACTTACATGTTAACATGATTTGTCATGAATAGATAACCCACTAGCAAATAACTAGAATAGACAGAATAAAAAATGTTATAAACAGGCTTTTTCAGTACTTTTGCACTAAATCGATATAATTATTTTTAGTGCATGATACAATGTGTAATATAATTTGGAATTTTCATTTCTCAGCTTAATCTTTCTTAACGATGTAAGGAATTGTTTCAGATTAGATCCTCATTGGGCTTTACAGTTATATTTATATGCATATACAAAATTATTAAGCCAATCAAGGCTACATTTTTCATCACTTGATTCATATCGGATATGTAGTTGACTTAAATACACTCTTTCAAGTTGTTCATCGTATCCCATTTAGTGTGCTGTAAACAGCTGAGAACATTGGGGTACATGTGCAGAAACTAGTAATATGTATTGAAGAGAAATTTATCGTATTAGCCTCACTACCTTGGTAATCAGTACGACTTAAGCTTTAATCCGATACAGGTTACCCTAAGTAACCAATGTAATATCATTCTTCAACTTCTTTTCTATCTTCCAAACTAAACTTCTTGGGTTTTAGTTCTCACATAATTATTACTAATATTCATCCTTTTGTTCTTACGTAACTGTTATTAAGATTCAACCCCGTAGGAATTTTTTCGTGACTTTTGTTGGTCATTATACAACTTATCGATTTTGTAACTACATCTTTCGATTCATTCACTAAATAATAGCCTTGGATATTATAAGTATTCCTGTTGTGGATGAGGATTTCTGTTATTTGTTCAGTCGAAATGATGGATGTTAGAATCGATGATTAGAATTTTATTTATTTATTTATTTAAACACATATATATTGGTACAAAAGGGCACCAGGTACATATGCGCCACACAAAATAATGAAAGTAGGAAGAGAAGGGATGAAAAGATAAGGCGGACTAAAATGTACAACCAGAAGACTCTTTCAAATAGGAAAGTTAGAACTACTCTTTATGTAGAAAGTAAAAGAAGGTTGCAGCAGGATCGCCACTGGCTTCTATTCTGAGCCATATCTGTTAACGTCTCTAGCCACTGTTTTGCACCATCTCGGACCCCAGCCAGGGAGTCGTAAAGGACCAACAGAAGCTAGCCCTTTGCAGCTTTCTTTCATGCCACGACACCATGTCATACACTGACCTCCTCTCCGCTTTTTCCAACCAGTCCCAGGGTCGGCAAATAATGCACGACGTGGAAGTCTCTGGGACGACATTCGTAAAACATGTCCAAGCCACCGAAGTCGGTGTTTCAAGATGGTGACACCAATTGAATTATCGTCTCTGTGCCCGAACACACGATGCCGAACCTCTGCATTACTAACATGGTGTTGCCACTGGATGTCAGCAATCCTTCGGAGACAACGATGATCGAACACAGAGAGACGTCTAACATCCTCAACTCGGAGAGGCCAGGTTTCACAAGCATAGAGCAAAACTGCTCTCATCGACGCGTTGTAAATCCGACTTTTTACAGCCAGACTAACATCACGAAGGCGCCAAAGATGGCCCAGATTGGCATAAGCCGATCTGGCTTTCCTTATACGTGCATCAATCTCATCACTCACGCCACCACCAGCACTTATATAGCTACCTAGATACACGAACTTCTCAACTACTTCGATCTGCTCACCATCCAGGGTGAGTACAGGATTAGAATCCTGCCAGTCTTGTAGGAGTACTTTGCACTTGGAGGGTGCAAAGCACATGCCGTACCTGCGGACACTGATTGCCAACTGATTAAGTGCTGATTGCATGCCTTGGGCATTATCGCACAGTAAGACAATATCATCCGCATACTCAAGGTCGAGAAGTCGTTCTCCAGGCAACATATCCACACCGCCATTACTTACATCCATCAGAGCTGTTTCCAGGATGTCGTCGATGGCAAAGTTGAAGAGGAATGGTGAGATCGGGCAACCCTGCCTAACCCCCTGCTCGAATGGAACAAGGGAGAAAGGTGGTTGTATGCCCTCACTCTGCCTGAGGTGTTCGTGTACAGGGCCTTTAAGATGTTAATGAACTTCTCAGGCACACCCTTCTTCAATAGACAATCCCAGAGAACAGTCCTGTCCAACGAATCGAAGGCAGCCCTGATATCAAGAAACACTACGATTGTTGGCCTGCGATAAGTAAGACGGTGTTCTAACATTTGGCGGAGGGTGAAGATGTGATCAATGCATCCTCGACCAGAACGAAAACCAGCCTGCTCCTCGCGAGTCAATCGTTCTCGGGTTTTTAAACAACCCACGAAGAATGATAGAAGCCAATAGTTTGGACGCAATCGGAAGTAGACTTATCCCCCGATAGTTATTGCAGGAACAACGCGAACCCTTTTTAAAGATAGGGACGACTATTGACTCATTCCATGATGTTGGAACACTTTCTTGCTCCCAAACCTTTCCAAACAACACAGTCAATTCCTTAGTCAGAAAGTCGCCACCATCTTTAAAAAGAGCCGGAGGTAAGTCATCTGGGCCAGGTGATTTGTAGCGCTTCAAGAGTTGGAGTTCCTTGCGGACTTCCGCCTCGTTTGGTGGATCAGTCGTCACCGGCCATGGGGGCAGGACAAGCTGGTTGATGTTGCCGGATCAGCAGGCCAGTTGAACTGCCCTTCGAAAAATTCCACCCATCGTCCAAGACGTCGACAGATGTTAGTGATTGGCATCCCGTCATCCTCGTAGATTGTTTCACTCACACCAGACTTCTTGCTGCCAGTGGCTCGGATGAGTTGGAAGAGCTTCCGGCAGTTACCAGATGCAGCTGCTGCTTCCATCTCATTAGCACGCTTCGACCACCAGGCTTCCCGGTCCTTACGCAAGCTTTGCCCGATTTCATTACGTAACAGCCTTCGTTTGTGGTCAAACTCACGGTCACCCGGAGTAGACCGACGGGCTTCCATCAGTTGTAAGGAGCCAGAAGAAACCGTTGCTTGTAAGCGGGACGTTTCGCGAAGCCGCAAGCGGCTTTACTCGCCATTTTCATGGCGTCGTGAAGAAGCAACCAATGCTCATCTATACTTTTCGGTGGGGTGGTAGCTAGCCTAGAGGCTAGCTCCGCTCGATACTTACTTGCAACAGGAGTTGCAGCCAGTTTACTAATATCAATCCGTTGGTGGTGGTCAATCCTTCGGCCACTGAAAAGTAAGGTGAGATTGGCGCAGACCAGGGCATAATCAGACTCCAGATAGGTACTCCAAAAGGAGCGGCAGTCTTGTACACAACCACGCCAGCGGTGGCTGATCGCGATGTGATCAATCTGAATCCAGGCGTGGGATGCAGAGGGAGGACGCCAGGTGGCACACCGGCGATGACTGTGCCGGAAGTTAGTGCTGGCCAGAAACAGGTTGTGGTCTGTGCACAGTTGCAGCAAACGGTCCCCGTTATCTGTCCGGCGACCAACAAGTCCCCATCGGCCACCTAGACGACTCTCTTCTGTGCCTAGACGCCCGACCTGCGCATTCAAGTCTCCGGCTAGTACTACAATATCTGTCGAACGCGCTTTCTGGAGAAGAACTGTTAACTGATGGTAAAACTCATCGTTGATTGCATCCGGGCTGCAATCTGTCGGGGCATAGGCGGAGATGACGAAAAGACACCGTTTCTCACGCCGATTTCTTCTCACTTTGATGGAACTTTCTAATCTAACAGCACATAACCGACTGTTAATGGGGATCCAATCGATTAGTGCTGCCTCAGCTCTAGCGCTTAGTGCGACACCAACACCAGCAAGACCAGACGAAGATGCCACAGGGTCCCCGGATAAGCGCACGTGGAACAAGCACTTCGAGGCGACAGATGGAGAGCGGATTTGTAGTACTTCACTAGAGTCTTGAATACGGGTCTCAGATAGACAACAAACATCAACATTAAGACCTTCCAAAGACATAGCCAGCCCTATCTGTTGTCTGATCTGCATTAGTGTGCGAACGTTGAAGGAAGCCAGCTTGAACGGCATACATGGTTTCAGAAAGACTGCCTCAGTATTCATTATCGGTGGAAGCATTCACTTTCAACCAGACAGTGACTGGAGATCGTTTAGATAGGACAGATTTTCCACCATGGGCGAGCTGCTGCATAAGTTGAAAAGTAAGGTTACACAAATTGGGGATAAAAGGGGGTGAGTTAGCGATATGGTAAATAATAATAATAATAATAATAATAATAATAATAATAATAATAATAATAAAGGTAATAATAATGTAAATTGTCTTGCTTTTAGTATGACCAGGGATATTATCGTCAATAGAGTTCATAATTTCATTCATTTGTGTGACTGAAGGAATGGCTACTCACAAGACCGTATAATTGACCTACGCCCCTGAATGATTGGAAATCAAAGACAAGACCACCAGGCAGGTGAAGGGTTTTTCATGCAATAAAATAGCACACTTATACACAAAGTATGAACAAAAAATAAGCATGACAAAATGTCATAGGTGATTTGGGTAGATTAATTTGCAGGTCACTTATTCTTTAATTGATGAAGAGCTGACTGTTAGGTTTAATCTTTAGACATCGTATCAACCCCCTATTCATATACACTTTTTGATTCTTACTATAGTCATCCATCATTATCTTCATAAGGTTTCCTGAGTTGTAATTTTGTCATTTATTCTATGACGTATTAATGTGCACCCAGGTTTCAAAGCTGGTTGGAAAGAAATGCTCTTACTTTTTGTGTTTTCAAATATCTGAATTGGAACTCTTATTTTTTATTCAAACAGAATATCCCAATCACAGAAGCTCCAATGATGCATTCAACCTCACCCTGTTCAAAAGACTCATCACTTTTCAAGGATCTCTTCGATAGCAATGATGGTAGGAAATTGCTGACATTGGTGTTTAAGTCTAATGCAACGATTGCTTAAATTTTCATATATATTTGTAGAAAGGTAGTATTTCAATAGTGCTTTCGATTGGCTGCATCATGCGGTTATGAAAAAGTCACAATGTGTTTTATGTTTCAGTATTTGTGTGAACAAATAGTACAGATAATGTAGGGGCAAAACTATATTGTAAGGACGCCCTTGAGCGACTAATTGACATCGAGATTATCGATGTTAAATATAAGCGCAAATTTAAAACTCCATTATGGATAGCTTGTTGATGGACATCATGCTTTTGACTGGATTTTGTATTTTGTGTGGATTGCTTTTCTTGTGGAATAAACAGTGCGATTCAGAATGTGTTAATGCTAGGATGGTAGGGATAAGAAGTCAAAGTAAGGTTGAATTATACCTTCGAACAACCTTGAAATCCCACCACTTTTAGCCAACCAATGCCAATGATGAACGATTTACGTATTATTCTAAAATTTAAGATGGGGAACTTGATTTTAGGACCTGCATCATAACTGATGTCAGTTAGTGATAAAAACCCTAACTCTTTCACAAAATTTGTATTCTTATTAGCAAGCATCTGATTTGTTGGTCTTAAGATCACTCATATAGTATAGTTTTACCAAGGTGAATATGTGTGACTCCAGTAACTTCCATTTAAATTAAGCGCGATCGTTATTTCCCATTTTTCTGTCATTCTCGAAATCCATCATCTGTTTTTCATTCTATTACGCTTGGAAAATGATCCAGTTAAGTGATGGAGAAAAAGTTACATCAAAAGTAACATTTTTTTCACTCAGTTTTATTATCCCCAAACTGTCCACTGTTGATCAGACAATCTATTATCGGTTTACTTATTATATTTTACCATTGAAGCTGTTTGACCAAACGGAAATAATAATTTACAATTAATCCCAAGTTGACATAACAGATTTGATACCAAGGGCTTGTGTAAACTGATACAAATCGGAACACTTATGTAATCCTCGTTTAAGTCATTATAGTCATATCTATTGGTTATGTTGTATGCATTCATATACAACTTCTTATAACCATCTCATCTATGTACATTTGTTATGTGTAGTTGTCTATCTTCGTTCGTTGATACTGCCCTTCATCCTTTTGAAAAAAAATAAGCTGAGGCACAGAATTATTTAACGAGTTGATTGGTATTTCCAATCCCAACAATAAATTTACGCGGTTATTCCGTTTGTCTGCTAATACACTTGTCTTCCCATCACATTGGATGTATAGCTTTTAATATCACTATTGTTCGAATAGGGTCAAGGAATTATTTATATACGAAATAAATTATAGAGTCAAATATAAATGCTAAGTTAATGAATGCTTATTTAAAGTGAAAAGTATTTTTGTTTCCCTTTTTTGTTTGAATGTATGCTAAAAATAGCTAATATGAATTGTCTATAGTAGATCTAAACAGTTTTCCACTCCAAAGCTCTCCATACGAGTCACTCTCTATTTTTATTATGTTTGGAGACATTATTTTCTTATTCGTACGTACCCTTGATATATCTTAAATCTTTCTTGAAAACAAGCAGCAAGTTAACAGGGTGGACATCAGTCCATATTGTAATTGACTCTTAATTTAAACTGTTTACAGGAAGTGTAAATTTTCTAGTTGCATGCCTCACGATAATCGTAACCTGTGGTTTAAGATCTTGAGTGTTTTGACTCAGTATCACCTACACTGGGATAGATTCATCCCATCTTTATTTACCTCTTAACCTTGAAATGTGATACTATATCATACTTTTCGTCCTCTGATCTTGTTAAAGTTATTGGTTAGATAATTATTGCAATAGAACGAATATTAGATTTATAACTTTTGCAACCATTTTACGAAGAACTATTATTTGTTTCTTTATTGAATAATCACTAAGTAATTAGATTGTCGGGTTTTTATGTTCCCTGTATTTTGGCTTTTTCTGGGACTCATTAACTATTGTTATACGTTTTCTGTTCCTTATGATTTCTTATATGAGGTGTGGTGTATTCTGTGAATTAATGTATATAATCTCATGAGTGTTTAAGTTATGGTGACTGAAGGAGTGAATTATTGGACGACTAAGCAACGGTAGGTTTATTTCCTCACTGTGTTCTCTTGTTTGACTCAATGAGGGAATAGAAGGGTATGGATTCCGGACCAATTGGAAGTAAAGATATCCCGATCACATCTTAAAGTTAGTCGTAAAAGCATAACACATCAGTTTATAAACGAGAGAGTATACTCGGGATTGAGAATTATCAACTGTTTCTGAATGATGAATTTTTTCTAGTGATTGATTAAGGTGTGGATACGTAAATTCAACAATCCTAACACTGCTGGCTCTGTTCTCAGGTTCACATGTTACTTCCAACACTTATTTGAATGATCATTCTGATTGAATGTTTGTTGATCACCAGTAATGATACGAGTATTTTAATAAAATTACCTAGAGCAAAATAAATCTGGTAACTCAATTTTTCATGTTATTATAGATTACTCTATTGAACTTACAAATCTCTCTAACAGTTTTATGACGAGTGAAATATTAACGCCTTTCGCGAAATTATCTCAAAATAATAATACAGATATAATCACTTCCGAAGTAGCACATCCTCAGGTAAGACTCGATTTCATAAAATATCGTTGCTGTTCAAAATTTTATTGTCTGCTTATTTCTGTCATTTGTTTTATTATACAGTATATAGGTTGTTATACTTTTACGTTTTATCCTGATGACTTTTTGATTGGTCTAAACAAATCGTGCTATTTTACTGTGTTATCAAAAAAATATTTGATCAGTATATAATCCATCCAAGGATTCTAACTCAGCAATTGGTTGAAGTATATAATTCAGAATATAACAGACTTCGTTAGTATTGATATCGTTCAAAGTAAACAAAGTTCCGAAGAGTAGCCATGGTGATAGTGAAAAGCTTTTACAAATACGAAAACAAACTGAGAGACCTTAGTTGGAATGACTTGTTGGGACTGAAATACGTCAGATATCAGGACTTACAGGCCTTTGAAATAGGTTAACATAACTCTAATTTAAATCAAATATTTCAATGAGAAAAAGTTTCTTTTAGATGTTTTCACTTCCAAAAGGTACACAATAAGTTTTACATGAGATAAAGTGTTATAAACAATTTTTGCATGTTAGTTTGTGTACAATAATCGGTGGAAATCAGAAAGTGCAGTTCACGATAATAGGTAAAATGAATTATCAAAGCATAAATGACTCATCAGACTGTCTAGGAATTATTGGACGTGTATGTGATACACTACAGGTGAAAGCTATTAAGTAGGAGATTTTAGTGTGAGCTTTCAAGTTGAAAAAATGTTGGTTATTATAAATAACAATAGTCATTGATTCAAAGTGTTTATATATTTGTGGTACTTATTTACGCCTGTTACCCATCGTGGAACATATGCCACCAACCAGGAATCTTCAACCTACTCTATCGTGGGCTCTATTTCCCAGTTGTTCGCAAATGATATTTATTCTTTTGATGACTACCGCCAATTCTTGACGCAATGCATTCTTTGGCTTGTTTCTTTTTCTTTTGCCTTATGATGCAGTTTGGTGATTTCTCCCGCGTGTGGCCTATCCACCTTCAGGGTTTTTTCCTAATCTCTTCCTCATTTGGAAGCTAGTTTATCTTCCTCCAGAGTAGTTTGCTGCTGTTGTTGTCTGGCCAATAGACCTGGAATATCTTGCGTAGACAACTGTTTATAAACACTACCTATTTAATGATGGTTGTAGTTTTCCAAATTTTAGCTCCGCACAGTAGAACTATCTTGACGCTTATTATGTAAACTAAGACTTTGGTGTTTACGGACAGTTGATAATGAACTGACATTGAACCGACTGTGGTATTTTTGTACGCCTGAAGTTAACTTTTTCAGGATATGACCATAAATGTTGAAGAAATAATGATTGGTTTAATTGAGTATTGTTAAAGTATGTGCCCAATTTGTCCACAACCACTTTCCCCCCCTACAATAAATATTCGATTAGTTGTAAATCATTTCTATGTGAGATCCGATTACTTAAATCTAATTTGAAACATTTAGTTTTGATTGGATTTGGAACTTTTGTGATTTGTATGATTTTGAAAGTGGTTTTTAAGAAATCATTTCACTAGTGTTTAATAATAAATTATCTTAACCTACTTCACACCAATACACAATGAGTTGAAGTCACAGTGTTGGTGTGATAACTCTATACTAACCATGCCGTAGAAGTGGTTGGAAAGATGCCAAGAGAAATCTCAATCGTCCCAAAAGGAAGTGATTACAGTGATTTTATAGGGTCGTTTAGTCCAGAGCTTCATCGAAATGCAGTTGTCCAACGTTTATATTTTCCAAGGAGACAGATGGATACCGGGCCGTAATTCGTGGGGACGTCCACCACAACCATAAATGTAATTAATTGTCTTATCACAATAGTTCATAGATGAGCAAGTTAACGGAATCGTGGTTCGAATTCGTCAGGCCTCTACTAATTTCAGGCACTGCTGAATTTAATATAGTGCATTATTTATACTCCATGTTAGAAGCGTCTGTATCCACAGGATGCGTTCAGTTTGGGGCATAAAGCATTTCTACAGACAAATCTCCTAGGTAAATAATATCCTTAATAAGTGAATAAAATGCAAGAAATTATGAAAGCCAAAAAGTCATATAATTTCGCTCGGAAGATGCCGTGAATGTAGACTAAATGAAGATAATGAATTCCAGTATTATTGCTTTGCAACGGCGGATCAGAGGAACTTGACAAATTGTTATCTTAGTTCTGTCAGTTTAAATAGGACTTATAAAACGAAAAGAGAAAACTCATTTCTTTGAGATTGTTGTACTCCACATGAGTTTTATAGCAATACAAAAAGGGTTTTTCCTTCCTTAGTCAAGAAACTTCTGCAATGATTAGTTGATTCCTGAATTCCTTCAAACAAGGTACGTACGACAGAAACCTTGTAGAAACTGTAACAAATGGTTCATCGGTCATCACTACCACAATCATAGCAGTGTATCCTGATTCACATCATTTACTGTGTCATGAATAGGGTTATCACACCAACACTGTGACTTCAACTCATTGTGTATTGGTGTGAAGTAGGTTAAGATAATTTATTATTAAACACTAGTGAAATGATTTCTTAAAAACCACTTTCAAAATCATACAAATCACAAAAGTTCCAAATCCAATCAAAACTAAATGTTTCAAATTAGATTTAAGTAATCGGATCTCACATAGAAATGATTTACAACTAATCGAATATTTATTGTAGGGGGGGAAAGTGGTTGTGGACAAATTGGGCACATACTTTAACAATACTCAATTAAACCAATCATTATTTCTTCAACATTTATGGTCATATCCTGAAAAAGTTAACTTCAGGCGTACAAAAATACCACAGTCGGTTCAATGTCAAACAATGAAATGAGTAAATTTTAGTGATGTGTATTGAGATCTAGAAATTTGCCATGGTTAAAAAAGTTTTTGATTTAAGTTTGAAATGGGAATGATGCACATAAAAGAACAGCTAAGAATTAAATTAAAAGGAAAGCGCAAACAAAAAACTGTGATTATAGTTAAAAAAACGATTCTATAAACTGTTTTTTTTACACACAAATCTGCTTTTGTTTTTCACCAACGATTCCGCGATGTAATGATCGTTGAGTACACCAGTTAGTAGATTCGCTCTGATACTATATACTTCTCGTAGTATTGATTTCGATGTTGCTTCTGGATGCATAAATATTTGCACAGTTCCACGCTTTCCTCCACTGAACCATGCTGCAAGGTGCTGTCTTATGCATTCTGATGTTGCTCGATCGACAACCTTTGTACCTATCTCTACATTAGCATATGATCAATTTAGTTTACATCAAATTGGTCGAACGAGGTAACATACCCTTTACTCATTTTTAACCAATGAGCGGTTGATTTATGAAGCTGAAGTGTAGCGGCATAAAATATTTTCTTCATTTATCTGGCCATGCTAATCCTTAAGATTTCGTCCTAAATATCACTGTCGAGTTGCAGATCAATATGTGTATTATCCTGTGCGTTCATAGCTTCTGTAGGACTTCGGGTAGCGTACTATTTGTGATTCTCATACAACAATTCTTACTCGAATTGTTGTTGTACTGGAATCTAAATTAGCTTGTCAAGTTGCATAAATTTCTGGTAGTGGGAGTCCTTTGCTTAGAGTAGTTAACGCAAATTTTAATACTAGTCATTAATAACTTTTAGTATTTATAATAAAAAAATTATTTAGAAGAAAATTTCGGTTTTCTGAAGGATTCTCTGCAGATGTCTGCCTAAATACTGTTTTCATTATCAATGTTTGCAAGATACTTTATGTGCTATTCAGAGACTACTTAACTTTCCATAAGGCTTTCGAATAGGTTATTCATGAAAACTATAAAAAAATATATAACTGGCAAAGTTGCGATATGTATAAGCAATATTTTCTAACTGATGATTTGAACTACTTTCTAGTTTACTCTACATATCACCTTGCATATTTTTCTGTCAAAATACGTAGCACGAGCTTAGATTGCTATATTTTCTTTTTTTATTGAGTCGTATATTTGAATTTTCTGGTACGATTTTCAGCTTTTGTGTTTCAAACTTTTAAACAGGCGCCACTTTCCGAATCTCAAAGCAATAATTCGTGTTCACCCAGTACTCAGTATTTTTCTGTTCAGGATGGTAAGTTATTTATTTAATTACTGACGTTATAGTTTTTAAATACTCGTTACACTTGACTTATAAGTAGAATATCCCTGCTTATTTTTTGACTACAACCAATAAGTCTACAGCTCTTTGCACAGTTCTCGTTAGAAGTCAATGGTTGATGTCCCCTCACTTCGACTGAATGCCAGCAGAAACATCTCGAGGGAGATGATAAATCAATGAGTTTAGACGTTACATGTTGTGAAAGCCAGATGGGATCGCATGTCTCAAGACTACACGGTAGGTGAGAAATTACGGATGAAACATGCTATTAGGAAAGTGGTTTATTTACGTAATCAACGTCTTAGCTTTCATGTCGTTATATGTGTCAGTTCGGACTAGCATATAAACATCTATAACTTGTGTTCATTGTTATGGGATTTTACACTCAAGTTTTTCAATGACTCTCGATTTTCTTATTTTGCATATCGATCGAGATACGTGTTTACGAAGCATGCGTATATTGTAATTGAGTCGGACTACAGATGGTATCAATTTCCTGTCACTTGATAAAGGTGGTGATATGAATAAACCTTTACTTCAAGGTTAATTTGGTTAGGTATATTTGACTTTAGATATCAGTTGGCTAATAATTTTGTGTTTGGCAAACCAGTTCAAGGAAAATCGTGAAAACATGCTGTTTCAAGATTTATTGAAGTCAGTTAAAGGTATCAATTACCAAAAATCGTTTGAAGTCATTTTCTAGAAAACTAATCGTAAAGACTTTACAATTTTACTTCCGATCAGTCAGTCAGTTACAACGTAGAACCAGGCATACATATGCATCGGTCCAAGTTGCCATACCTCGTTAGCACAACAAGATGAACACCGGATTCATAGAAGTAGTTAATTTACTGGTGGTAATATATAAAAGATAGGTTGTATATAAGGATACAGTATAGGAAGGAAGACAGATATGAAGCAATTTTAATCTCAAGGTTTAAGGGAAGATAAAGAGTGTATACACCTACGCCATTGTGATGGATTCTGAGCCATGTCACCTAGAGTCTCCAACCATTGGTTACGATAGTCACGCGGACCCCAACCAGGTAGTCTGCATCTGTCAACATGGCTCAAACCGGAAGTTATTGACTTCAAGCACTGATGCCACATTTTGGTTTGACTGCCCCTAACTCTTTTCCAACCATCCCCTACACTAGTCAGCATGGTGCGTCGTGGTAATCGGTGTTCAGGCATACGTAACATGTGGCTTAACCATCTCTGTCGATGAAGATTCATGACCTCATCAACTGATTTACCATCATTCCCTAATAACCTGTGTCTAACCTCACTATTACTTACCCGGTGATCCCAGCAGATACGAGCAATATTTCTAATGCCCAATTTTACTTTAGGTCAAATCCTAGTGATGTTCTCTTTTAACTGAGCGAAATAACTGGATGTCATGTGCAGCCTACACACACACACACCCATTAATTACATTCCTCTTGAAATTCGAATTTGGAATCTTTCAGATAGTAATTTTAAAATTTCGTTTCTATATTATTATAATATCAGCAAGTGATTTCTCAATTCTGAAAACTTCAAATTCTTCCGTTATGGAAATTAACTCAAATGGACAGGTTAGTGTTTGTTGTTAACATATGAGCTATTGATTATGATAATGTCATATATTCATTTATCTCTTGCTTGGTAGGTAACGTTAATAAAAAAATGAAAGAATTAATCCGAAATTCCATATTTTTTTAAGTTTGTTATTTTTAAAAATAATTTCATATTTATTCATATTAAACACTAAACAGCTGAAATATATTTAGCTATTTTTCTTAAGATGTATTGTGAATGGTTAAAATTGTTGTCAATTTCCTATGTATTAGTTATATTATGGTAGCTACTTTTTACCTATACAGTAAATTACCTGTAAAATCCTTCTAGATACTATTAACTGATTGTTTTGTGATGAAATATAGTTGTGATTTTCAAGGATTCTTCTTTAAACCGTATGCTTTGACATTTTTGGTGAACTATCAGTTTTTGTGGTTGTCTATTTTTAGTGAATTTGTCTACCCCTTTTTTAGGACGTTTTTATTTCATGTATCTACTTTTGAAACATAAAACTGTCTTTAAAAGTTCCAGATAATAATGAACATTCAAAATTTAAGGTGTTCCACTCGAGATGCTTCATTATTGTGTTTAACATTTGATCTTATTTTATTTCTTCCATCTTATTCCAGATAACCGACTCACTGCTTGGATCAACCTGTGGGGTGTATAATAACACTGATTTAACGAATCATTCTGTTGTTTCCAAAACTGATGAACGAAATATGAATGGTAAATAAATCCAACATTTCTACTGTTTTTTATTTTATCTTTCGAAGTTTTGAGTACGCTTTATTTTAACTGTTTTGTTTGTTGACCATTGTGAATTGTTATATCTAGAGCTTTGATTTTTAATATACTGAGTACAACTTGAGCACTCGAACGCTAGAACCCTCCCAAGTCGCAAATGAGAAGACTGGAGAAAGTGCTTGTTGGGCAAGAATCAAAATGTACAGAAAATCATGGGTATTTATAGATATTAGCGTTTGTTAAATCAGCATTATAATCCAGTCAATCCACAAAGAGGCATGTTATGCTACTGATCAACAGTAGCATACCACGTTGATATTCTAGAAAGCTCTATTTCGTTCTGATTGGACGGGACTCTTCGGCTCCTCTAGGGTCCCTGAAGGCTCCGTCGTAGTTCTCGTAAGCCGTTCCAACATAAATATTTTTCATGAGTTTATGAACCATTGTCTATCAAGGTGTTTGGGATGTGTATGTTAGCCACTTCCCACTCCCAACACGGTAGTTGGTTTAGAGGAACGTAAGTATCTATTGAACTTAGGGCTTTCATACATTTGTGATGTCATAGTCTTTAGAGTTGATTTACGTAAGCATCTGCGAACCTTTTATTAATTGCTTGCTAGACAATCATATTCAATGGTTGGTATCATTAGCTCTCACATTGCACGTATGATTCAAAAATCTAAGTATATAAGCACATATTTATTTTCAGAAGGGGGTTTTTGTGGAGATATTTAGTAATTTTATAATTGAGATCACGAGTCAATTAAAGCTAGAACACCAATCCACGAAATCAAGCAACCATTGTCTTCAGTGAGTTACTATCTCACCATTGGATGCCGGCTCAGTGGTCTAGCGGCTAAGCGTTCGCACGCGAGACTGACACGTCCTGGGCTCGAATCTCGCGGTGCGGGATTGTGGATGTGCACTGCTGAGGTGTCCCACACTAGGACGAAACGACCGTCCAGTGTTTCCAGGTTTTCCATGGTGGTCTAGCTTGACTCATGATTTCAAGTAAAAAATTGCATATTTACTTGTCAAATCACATTAATGATACTGTTTCATTTTCAGGTCAAAGTGTTAATGTAACCGTAAACTCAACACTGCCATCCCTTCATAAGGATCCATCCATTGTTGATTGTGTACGGGACTCAGTTGTTCAGGTTAGTTATCGTCATTCATTATTTAATGTCTCGTTTTTATTATTGCATTATAAATATGCTGTATGTCTGATATCTTAGATTTTAATGAATTTCCATTATGACAGTTTATGGAGAAACTTATGACTAACTTTGATTAAAAGTGTTCTTATTTCATGGACCAAATTGATACTTAGTGATTTGATACCGCGTCTTTTTTACGTTTATCTAACACATTTATCATCACACTTCTTTTAGTCATAGTCAGATATTCATACTTCATATTATGAATCTCAGTCGTTCTAAATTCTCAAATACTAGGCTTGATCTCAAAACTGTTTTTTTGATAGTTGTCACAAACAAACGTAGCCAATGGTATTTTTGTAAAATTTCAATATCTGTAGTTAATTATTCTATCAATTCACGTTTGAGAAATCGATAGGCACAGTACTCATCACAGTTCTATGATATGGACAAATTAATAGTGAGTATTTTTTTTCAAATGATGAAATCTATAGAAAAGGATGACGTTGTGAATGTAGTACATCAGCAGTATTTTTTTTCTGACCAGTCTATCATTTCATTAGGAAATCCTACAATGACGTTAGTTCATTCACAAGAAGTTTGTATACTAGTGGCCTAATTACGGTTCAGATTTCACTAATCTCTTGTTCTCGTTTTATTAACACGTCTATGATTACTGTCGAAATTGAAGCAAAATTACGAATTCGGATTCCTTACTAGAAACATATCAATAATAATATTATTATTGTTATTTTACCTATCTAGTTCGTTCAAGGAATAAAGAGGAAATTTTCACCGAAGGGGACATGGGTTAAACCATTAATAGGTCGTATTCTGAAGCCAGTTTCTGAGAATGAACTACAGGTAAATGATGTAAAAATCTATTTGTATCTACTAAGCGGTAGTCTTTATTTAATGTTACCAATCAGTTTATGTTGTAATTCCGTATGTATCAATTTATTACACTGTAGAATTTATTATCTTTCTTGCATTTTAACGGTGTATATCAAAATCATTACTACTTTCAACTTTCTCTTTTCAATGTTACCATATTGTACAACGTTGACCATATGGAAAACTGTGCTTAATAAGCTAGTTATTAAAATCGTTAGCAACCCTAACTTTAAACTTTGTTTATTTCTAGACTAAATGTTTTCTTATCAATAACATAAAATAAACGTACATATTCAATTGTGTATTAACTACGGTACATCAAATACGTTAAAGTCTAAGAGAAATTGACAATTTTTCCAGTGTTAATATCATTTTTTCTCTCGAATATCTGTGAAATAGTTTGTGAAAGAGGGATCTGCCTAAAATAATTCAGACAACCTCACAAAGGTTAACAATTTAAAACTGTAATTAAGTTGATCAAATAATGTGTAGTCAGGGGAATCAATGAATACTTTTATAAAGTCAGCTTAACAACATCTTGATTGTTTTGTTTTTCATCTAGTTTTCATATTGTTACTGCCATCGTTTCAGTTCTAAACTTCAGTGTAGACTAAATTAGTGAGATCAAGTAACAAATAATCCAATTAAAAGCAAAGCTTGTGAATCAAAACAATAGGCTCTTAAATAGTTGTTAGCAGGTTTATACCCTATCTCATTCTCTCCAGGTTGAGGTGCCAGGTAGCCCATATTATAATACATAGAACTATACTTGGTGAATTAGTTATTGGACGAATATTTATTGGGTTACTCCCAATCATATCTCAAGTACACATGTTAGAATTTGTCTCTGTGTTATTGTTTCATCCATACCACCTTTGCTAAATGGATAGTAAAGTGGTGGAGAACATTTGTAGTTCAGGTGGATGATTTTGATGGAGTTTTGTTCTCTGAGTTCGATGGTTTGGTCGTGGAGCTTTCATCGTCCTTCTGAACGACAATACCAGTACAAACTTCGGGTAGAAGTGAAGCGTTTGAATTTCTCCACATGTGGTTCACAGCTTGTCCTGTACACCTCGATGTTGATTGGTTCTTGTTGACCTTAAATCTGTCATTGTTTGCTTCTTTATTATGGTTGTATCGCCCATTGGTTTGATTTTCGTTCCTATATTTCTGCATAGTTTTCCTGATTGGTTGACAAATTGGATTGATTTCAATGTTCTTGTTTATTGCTGATTGACCTGAGTGCCAAGCTTCTAAAAATTCTCTGGTGTTTTTGGAATTGCCTCTATCTAAAATCTCCATAGTTTTCCAGTCGGATGTGTGTCCGCAGTTGTCCACGTGCATCGATATAAGTGAAGACATGTCATGGAGTTTGACTGCTAATTGATTTTCATGCAGGCGAAGATGAAGAGGACGTCCGCTTTGTCCGATGTATTTTTTTTTCGCAGTTGGCATAATTTATTTTGTAGATGATGTTTGGTTTGTCTTCTTTTGTCATTTCATCCTTTGGTTTGTATAAGATTGGATGTAGGGATTTTGTTGGTTTGTGAGCAACACCTATTCCAAAGGCTTTCAGCAGTCTCGTTGTCGTAGACAAATGACAAATTTAAGGTCAACGAGAAGCAATCAACATATGGGTGTACAGGACAAGCTATGAACCACATGTGTTGAAATTCATACACTTCACTTCTACCCGAAATTTGTGTTGATGATATCTTTCAAAAGGACGATGAAAGCTCCACGACCAAACCATCCAGGATATTGAAGTGTTGACCGACTGTCGTTTTCATTGCCAAATGTTATTCGTCTATAACTTTTCGTATTTTTCGTTCCCCATATACTTTAGAAATCCGTTTTTAATTCATTGTTTACCATGTTTTATGAAGCCTATTGCTAAACGTCCACGAAATTTCGCTTCAACTCATTCTCCCACTACTTTGAGATCTGCAATAACTGTTTCATCGCCTATTATGTCGAGTATATCGTTGACAGATACCAATCGTTCACTTGGGAGTCTGGGGATTTCTTCATGCACACTTAATAGATCAAAATCTTATTCTAGTAATCCTGTAAATACTCCTCGTTCCCTGCCGATGGTTCGTCATAGAGAACGACAGCGTAATCCACTGCATGAAGTCGTTTCCTTCAGTAACAGTAGTGTGAGTATCCTAATTTTTTTAATACAGTATAGCCGTGTGAATTCATTAGCATAAGTTTCTTGATAATTTGGTTAGTGTTTTGTGTTAATATTCTCTTGATTGTTCTGTATGCTTCATAGGCAAATAATGTTTGTGATATAGATGGACTTGTGGCCAGTAACGAAATCGAGGATGCGCACGTTGTGCTGTTTGAAACTCGTCATCTGGATATACCTGCATTCTACTAGTGTTGGTGTTCAAATTATGATATTGATGTCCTATCCACTATACAATTGAGTGGCTCTCCGGACTAAGTAACTCAGAGGACGATAACACGTTAGACACTTGATGCTAAAGGTAATGAGTTTGAGTCTTGGCGTGTACATCAACATTTTCATTCAGCTAACGAGTTCCAAATAGGACTGAACGCGCGTCCTGCATTTCATCGCTAGTGAGAAATGTTTGTGAAAGATGGCTAAATGGAGGCAGTCCGCACAGGATACTCTTATAATGACTGAACACTTATTAATTAGTGTCTAAATCTGACCTTAAATCACACTCGGTTAACTTTGTATGCATTCTTAGTTTAAATCTCAATTTATAGTTAACTTTATTTCCACTAGAGATATTGGGAAGCCAATTATAAAATTGGTTGAAATTTATTTTTCACATGAGCATTAGCAGACCAATTGTATAGCACTCACATCACCCAATAAAATAGAATATATACAAATTTATATATGAGTTTATATGTGTCATGAATCGTTGATTGAGTATATCTGCAACCGATAAGAGAATATATGAAGAGAGATACTGAATATGCACACATTCACGCGTACATTGGAATACTCATAAGTGGTCGGATGTCCGCGCTACAGAAAACAATAATTAGAAATACAGTTACATTTTTTATCTGCCCACATCAAGGTAGTTTCTATGTTCATATAGTTGAAAGGAGTTTGCCACAATACACATATGTCAACAAAGACTGATTCAGTGAAGATTATGAACAATGGAATAATTTGAATCCTTCGTAGTAATGATACAAATAGTGTTTTTGTCAAATAATAAATGTAAAACTGCCTTAAGAGTGTAGAAAGTAGAGTATCTTTTTTATTCACTTGCTTATTTTTATATTAGCTGTAACCAGCATTTTTTCAATTAACTGATCATTATGTAAAACGTCTCATTGAAATCATAAAATAACCTAAGTAAGACTACCATTGAAAACCCAAACCCAACGATTTTTCTTTTGATCCTAATGAAGAGAAATTAAAATTTCTTTAGAACTGTTAAGAGACCTGAAGATGATTTCGTGTCAAATGCAGCATTTGTTGATAAGCAATACGAGAGTTTTAAGTTGCGTTCACTTTCTGACGAACAATTCAAGTGTCTTATCATCGTCAGACTCAGATATTTGTACTAGAATTTTAAGCAAAATCGAGTTAACTCCCACTCTTAGGTTGAAAGATATCACAAATGAATGTCATCATATTATGTCTTCAGGATGTTACCAAAATGATCAATCGTCCAGATCCTAATTCATTTGATTTGATTGAAAATTCTCATTCAGTTCGCACTATCAATGTCGCAAAGCATGATTAGTGAAATTTTCTTTGCCCGAATCGAATGCCTAATGTTCCATAACTCTAATTCACATCTCTCTACAAGGCCTCCTACTAGTTGAAACTGTGGGGCATGTCATTTCTCCCGTTTCTATCCATTCAATAAACATAAATGCGCAAAATATGGAGTAACTGGACATAAGGAGGGATTTTACTAATGCAGCAAACCTTCATCCCATTATCGAATCTTTCAATCTATTGGGTCTTAACTGAATCACAGAATTAAAAATGTTCGGCCGGTCATTTAATCATATTTGTAATCCAGATTTTAAAATGCTCGATCAGTCATTTAATCTTACTTGCAATCAAGTGTGTTGACATCCTCATATGGTGCACTAATGGAGACAGAAATTTTCTAGTGATCTTCAAAATAATCTCAAGGCGAGGGCATGATGGACAAAATCAGTAGGGATAAATCCGAATCCAGTCTCACCTAAGGGTGTGTCTCCTGCTGAGTCAGTGTTCATAAGGAAGACTGCGATTTCATTTGATAGCATATATCCACGAAGAAGATGAGATTATAAACCCAAGGAGAAGAGAATTGAACATCAGCTTCCTAATGAGTGACATGTAAACCACACTCACGATAGACGATTGAATTCAGATAAAGGACTTCCTAGCTCAAACTTGCAACTAGATTATTGAATTGATACAGTCAGTTTGAAGCATCAGGATCAGCGCGGAGGAATTAAGGTTCAGACCCCAAGAAGACAAAAGTTCCCTCAATGCCTTCAGCTAAATCCAAGGAGCAAGACTTATTTTTCAGGAGCGAAATTTGATTTGGAGATCCAATCAGAAGTAGCTCAATGAGGTTAATCGATGGCAATCAGAAGTGACCTAAAGAACAAGAAAAATACATTGGCTAAGAAATGGACCAATTTCCTAAGGATTAGAGTGGTATATATATATGAATGAGTATTATTATATTTTTTTCGGTAGTCCCAATATACTTTCTCGCTCACTCGTGTGTTCTCACTCAAGTAGTCATTTGGGGGGGTCAGCGTTCTGAACACCGTGTATCGTCATCAGATTTGGATCGTCGCCCGTCATTACATTTTCTGGCGTATATTAATTTGGAGGGTACTACGACTCTCAACTAACATTTTTGTTTTGAAGGACGTATGTCGTATGTTATTCGGGATATCTGACAAATATAATTTTTTGTGACTTATATTCCGACGATTGACATGATGGTAGACAGGAGTGTATTTTCTCTATTGTTTGGATCCCTTATGTATTCAGTAATTTTAGCAATCAAAGTAATAATATATCTGATGGAACTTCCCTTATTCTGAAACGCTAATAATGAATTCCTTCGTTATTACCTATATTTTCTCTACATCCTTTCGCTTGTCCACAAATACTCTACTGTTCAGAAACGACTAAATAGTCTGAACAATTATTCCATCGTATCTCCTTTTATTCATTATATTTTCTCTAATATATTTCGCTTTGAAATCGTAGATCTTAAATTCAACAAACTCCACTGAATCTCCGTCATGCTCTGTAACTAATAGTATAAACAAACAAAAACCACTGAGTAACCATGAACAAAGGATTCTTAAAGGTGTAAGTTTTATTTTCAATGATTTTTTTTGTTTCACAGTATCCTTTTGTGTGATTGCTAACTGTTGAGCAGATTGTTATTAGTCATAAATATATTCTTTAACCCAAAAATTTTTTGTACATTGTGGAAACTCAGATTTAGTAATTGTGTTTCATATTATCATTTTGCTTATCTTTGTCTGCCTTAAATTATTCTCCATATCATTAGGTGTTTAATAGAGTATGCTAGTATATAACATCATTATATAATCTCCGTCGTTTAGATTCAGTAAACAATAAATAATAGCCCCTATACACATTTACGCGTATATTTGTATGACCTCTTTCACTGTATTGTATATCGGGTCGATAGAAATATTGCCTCATTCATACGTTCCACAACGAGAACGGTTGATATGCTTGTGGTCTGGATAAAGTGGGAAAATTTTTAGACTGAGATTTACATTTTGTTAGCTTGTATATTGGCTCACGTAATTGGACTAGGTGGTTGTTGTAACGATAGGGTTACACCACCTTAAATTGTATTTCGGTACGTTTGGTAGTGCTTTAGAATTTAGAAGGTTCTCTGTCAGAAAAATGTCTTTTGATTTATGATTTTCGATCTATATCAGTTACTAGTCTAAGCTTTATTATTGTTGTCTTATATACAGTTCATCTCTTTAAATGGAAGATAAACAGAATTTTGTTTTATCCTGGCTTACTTCTTTCAAATATTACCTTTTACGTATTTTTGATGCTAAGCAATAGTATAATGTTCACCTTGTTGTCAATACTTGTATTGAAAGCTTTATATGATAAAGGTTACGTACTAATCTTCACATGTGAACTTCCATTACATCACATTATGCAAACTCAAATAAAACAATTGTTATTAAAGAGCTTGAAGGTTATTTTCTTTAGTTAGTCAGTTTAACAGTAAAGAATTTATTGACATAATGTCTTTTCAATTTATTGTTAATTAATCGACAAAATTATTATCTGACTGTATCAAGTTACCGTAGCTTACAGAATTACATAAATAATGTTCTTATCACAGACATCAACAATATACTTATCAATTTGTATCGATACACTGATATGCTACTTACTTACTTACGCCTGTTACTCTCAATGGAGCATAGGGCGCCGACCAGCATTCTCCAACCCACTCTGTCCTGGGCCTTCTTTTCTAGTTCTATCTAGTTTTTGTTCATTCTTCTCATGTCTGTCTCTATTTCTCGTAGTAGTGTGTCTCTTGGTCTTCCTCTTCTCATTTGACCTTCAGGATTCCATGTGAGGGCTTGTCTTGTGATGCAATTGGGTGATTTCCTTAAAGTGTGGATATGTATATGTGTGATATGTATCACTGATTTATTGGTTTCATTTAGGATTTATGCATTTCACCTTTATATTTACCCTTTAAATTGTATCCTTCAGTTAATATTTGATATGGAAAGTTTTTATATTGATTTTATGTCACATCAAAAATGTGATGATGTTCCATAATGTACCATTTCTTATATTTTCATTCTACAGTACATTGATTCAATTAATGAAATTCGCCGAATTCCAGTGAACGAAGACAATTTTTCAGAATTAAGGAAAAGTTTTAACTTGTAAAGAAAATTAATTTATTTTATATCCTAATTGATATTCTGTATATATTCTATTTATAATCTCTTCCTTTGAAAAGACTTTATTTTTCTACTAGATATAAATATAAATAATTATTAAAGTAATTATCTTTGTTCAGACGTTTACTTATGGTCTTTTGTAATACAAAACTAGTATATGTATGATTGGGGAATGGTGGTAGTGTTCATACTATTTTATCATTGTTTTCATAGTTGTAATACATAGAAGCTACAACTCCTCTATGGTCACAGATTTATCAGTGTCAATTGTCCGGTGGTGATTAAGTTCGACTACTTACAAGGTTTGTGTAGACGTGAAAGCTACTTTTTCAGTCAAAAAGCATAAGTTTCACCGATTCGGCTATTGAGTTAAACGCAGGACTACCAGAGTAGAATCATGTAAATACATCATATTTTTAAATACAGTTGTATGGTTTGAATCTTCGAGTGAGTGAGGCTTTAACAAGCGTAGGTATTGATATCTTTATATTTTTATACAACAATACAGGACTGAATCAATTCTATGACCTGTTTCAACCCGATAGTTTGTAGTAGCGCATTGTAAATATTGGTCGTCTATTATTTCTAGAATATTGGAATTTATTCGTTCTTACAGTTATTTTTGTACAAATCTAGCCACCTTTACTCTTTCTTGTTGTCAGTCTATCCATGTAACCATAAATGTGATGCGAATAATTGTATACTGTTTAAGATCTTGCTGAGACATGGATTTCGTTCTGTCAATATTAATGGGAATCTAGTTGGTATGACGAAACTCTTTATGGGAATAATTTCTCTCAATGTAGCATTTTGTGAGTATTCTCCGTTTTTATATTTGATTTATCATTAAACATATCATGAATCTGTCACAAATGGAATAATCAGTAGTAGTTCATGTGCATAACTTCTGTAACTTTTCGTTCTCTTAACGGCGAAGCTTAATTACAAAGTTTAGTTGCTGTTTTTTGGAAAACATCCTTAGTGTAATCTTTAAGTAGAAATGTGACATTTTGATTAATTCACTAACACTAGGTAGATACATGTGTCGAAAAGTATTATTGTATTAACCATCGTATGGTGAATTCCAAAAGGATTGAGCGTTAAAATACCTTTGATATAGGAAATAGTTGACCGTAGTTTTCGTTTACCATTTAATCTTTATCGGTTTATATGATCTTTTCTAGTTGTCGTTGTTTCATCAAGGTTCTTTCCTACAGGGTGAGGTTGCTAACCCCGTGCCTAATCCTCCTTTATGTGGAGTTTCATTTTCCAATAATCTATACAAATTAGGATGATTGATATTTCATGCAGTTAGTTCCCTTTATAAATTTAAATAAAGACAGACCAGTGGAGTTCAACCAAGTCTGTTGTAGAGATATCAACTCACTGAAGACAATTGGTGAGCGGTTGCTCAAACATCGTAGATTGGTTGAGGTTAGACATTAACCCCGTTGGATGCCGGCTCAGTGGTCTATCGGTTAAGTGCTCTTGCGCGAGACTGGTAGGTCCTGGGTTCTAATCTCGCGAGACGGGATCGTGGATGCGCACTGCTGAGGAGTCAATTAGTAGGACGAAACGACCGTCCAGTGCTTCGAGGTTTTCTCTGGTGGTCTAGCTTGAATTGACTCATGATTTCAACCATGAAAAGAAGAATAAATATTGATGGCGAATAGTATGAATTCATTATATTTCATGATTTCTCATCAGCTGCTTATAATCAAATATGTATTAGAATTTTCGCATTATGGTAATAAATAGTATGGAACAATTGACATAATTAAGTGTAAAGGATTAGAATAACAAAAGGTCATCAATGATAACTATATATATATATATATATATATATATATATATATATATATATATGCAAGGAATGGTCAGAGGTTATTAGGTAATAGAATGAAAGAAGCATTAAGGGTGGTTGGCGTAATAGTTGAATGGAGCTCAAAAACAGATAAGATCAAATGTGTGATAATTCTGGAGGTAAATGAAAAACAATTAGGGCGGGTTACGTAATAATTGAATAAAATTTGGGAAGTTCATATAATTAAGAGACAAGTTAGCGGAAATGTGTAAGAGAAAGGGTGGTTTAATACCTTTCTTTGCACATATATATATAGTTATCATTAATGAACTTTTGTTATTCTAATCCTTTACACTCAATTATGTCAATTGTTCCATACTATTTATTACCATAATGCGAAAACTCTAATACATATTTAAATTCAACTTATCATTGTTTGTTTGAATCTTCCCATCGATTTGTTAGTTGAGAGTTGTTTTGAGTTCCATATGTTCTTCAATTGTAGAAATGCTGCCTTTGCTTTGCCAATCCTCGCATATACATCTGCATCCGATCCTCCTTGTTTATCAACGATGCTCCCCAGGTACTTGAATGTTTCCACCTCTTCCAGAGTTTCGCCATCAAGTGTTATTGGTTTGGTTGGTGTTCTCCGTGTTGCATTTGAGAATCTTGCGAACAGTCTCATAATCTGTAGGTCGTGAGTTCGAGTCTCACCTGTGGCAGGAACAAATAAGAAACCGTGAATAATATTGGTATAACATACATTTGAAGTCTGTTGGTTTTTCCATTTATAGAACATACAAAATTAATATCTCTATTTTTTTTTGAAAAATAATAACAACCTATTTATTTTAATGAAATTAAAACTTTGAATGAATGTCTTTATAATTACGAATAGAATAATAATTAAAGGTTGGATAATTATACTGTTTAAACAAACCTTAGTTATTAATTTAGTCTTCTCAAATTAAAATTGAATATTTCAAAGTGATTATTAAATACAGTATTTCTGTTTTAGAAATATGCACTGTGACAGTTATTACTTTTAAATTATTACAATCTAACCTGCTCTAGGTGGATAGTTCTGTCACTGTACAAAGAAAAACTGGCAAGAAGGGAGTATAAACTTAATTTATCTTAATGATAAATATCTAACAGTAAGCCTTTAAAATGTTTCCCAGTTAATTGGTCTGTCGAGTTGTTACATTAACTGTCTCAGTTTAAAGTCAATGTTTTTAGGAATTATAGATTATTAACTTATGTATAATGAATAGTTAATTAGTACCAATGTTTTAGAGGAAAACAAAAAAAATGCAAATTTGTGCATCAACCAGAATTATTCAAATAATCCGCTAGATATTTATTTAAAGTTTCTTTACAGAAGTGGTCAGTTGGGTAAAACTTTCAGAGAATGTGAAAGGTCGAATAAAATTTCTTCGTAAATTTAACTTACAAGTAACATTTATCAATAAACAAATAAATTTCTCTCTCTCTCTCTCTCTCTATATATATATATATATATATATATATATATGGATGCTTTTGGTAGAGCTTTGTTCTCTGAGCTGTATAGTTTGGTCAGAGAACAAAACTCAATCAAAATCATCCACCTAAGCTTCAAATCTTCTCTACCATTTCATATTTGATTGCATTTGATTATCATCTGGTAATGGTATTATTTTAGAATTAATTTTATGGTAAAAAACTGTTATATCGATTGAGTGTGATGCGCGCCCTGTTTAATATGTGAACGTGCTGATTCCCGTCAATGAGAGAAGAGCGAATTATCGATCGGAGCAGTGATACACAGAAGCTGTATGAGCAGTCTTGAGTACTTATCAGTCCTGCTTTCTGCCTAGCCCACCTAGTCAAGTCCAGAACACCAATAACAGCCTCGGTAATATCAATCATTATTCTCAAACATGCTGGGTTTATATACCAATCACACTGACCACATCGCACCATAAAATAGAAAACATGTGTACAAGATTTGGTCAAATGTGACTGTGAATAGGGGGAATAGTAATTAATAGACTATGGATAATTCAGGAATGGTAAATCGTAAATAATAGTCTATAAGTCAAAATAAAGCTTATGATAAGAGGGACACGAATATGAATAGTTTAGTTACTTAACAATTATACAATAGGAAATATACATATCATATTCATCCATAAATAGTTCTCAAGATAACCATTCATAAATCTCCATGGGATATAACAAAAACATGTTTCAATACAAGTTGCCGTGACATATAGGAAAGTTTTTTGTTGTTAACCTTACAGAAAGGATTCAACAAATTTTAACTAAAATATATTAAAACGCATTGAGATTATCTTTTATAAGTTGATGTACTTTCGTCAGCTTTATCTTATTGTTTGACCAAGTGCTATTTTCAGCTGTGTAAAAGCAGAAAAGATCTGTAAACAGTCACTTGGCAGATAAAAGATCTGTAGTTTAATGATGGTTAGTTTCAATTTTATGATTATGAAGTAGGCGAGATATCAGTCTGGTTAACCAACTGATTATACCTAACCGGAGGATTCTGTACACTGACTTATGGCTGTATTACATATGACTGACGACAGAAAACTTACATAGGTTGTCAGTATTCGGTCGTGGTTATCTTTGAAGCACTGTTCACTCTCTGCTGAAAAACTGAGTGACTAATTTTAAGATGTAAGTAGTTAGTCAGTTAACTAACCTGTAATGTTCGGAAATCGAAGTGGAGGAGTTATCTGCTGCATATGACTGACAGTATGTCGAAATCCTATTATTCAGTGCTACAAGGTATTCAGCAAATCGTTGGTCAGTATTAATAACTTAAAATATATACTTATTGAGATACGTTTTGAAAAATATGGAAGCCATTTCGAATGATGAAACAACAGTTTGTTTTGAGAAGCGAAATTGTTTTTTTAAATTGTTAAGTGAAATGTTTCCTCACTCTGCGAACGGAATATATTTTACACATAGTGAATGGATTTAAGTGAAATTTTCAGATAATTATGTTGATATGAAACCAATGTTATCGTAGTTTTTATGTAGTTGAGTTTTCAGATTTTAGCGTTACTGTATATCATTAACGAATACCGAAATCTCCACAAAACCCCTTCTGATTATAATCATATGCTCACTAGTGATTAACTTCAAGATACGTGTCCTTGAGTTCTAGTGAGAAGCAGTGACCAGTGGAGTTCAAACTACGTCTGTCGTGAGATATCAACTCACTGAAGACAATTGGTGAACGGTTGCTCAAACTTTGTGGATTAGTTGAAGTTGGACATTAACATCGTTGGATACCGGCTCAGTGGTCTGTCGGTTAAGTGCTCTGGCAAGAGTCTGGTAGGTCCTGGGTTCGAATCTCGTGGGGCGGGATCGTGGATGCGCACTAGTGATGAGTCCCACTATAAGACGAAACGACCGTCCAGTGCTTCGAGGTTTTCCCTGGTGGTCTAGCTTGAATTGACTCATGATTTAAACTATGAAACTCAGTTATTGTCAATTCTCTTCTTTGTTTAAATAATTTATAGTTTGAATTGGGGATTGCGAAAATGGTTACTAGATTCAAGTTTCTGTTTAGTTTCAACAGGTATCACTGAACTAACATTTCCAAATCATTCTCCATTAGTTTTTTTCAGTTGTGATTGGAGTTTTAACACTTTTGAAATGGAAATAACTACAGCTTTTAGTCTGTACTTTGACATGAAATTCAATCTAGAAATAAAGTTTTATTAGGAAATATGACGTAACTTGAGGAGAAAACTGATATTTCAAAAGTTTAAAAATAATACTCTCAAATTCACGGAATCTTATATTAATTCACTGTTTAATTTCCGATTTAGCAAAATTGTCTATATGACAATTCACTGTACGATATGTTCATGAATTACACAACATTACTACCACTATTCGTCATACATTTATTCATTTCATTGTTGAAGAATAGTAGATACGGTGAGACTATAATTTATAGACGAACCAATCAGATTTAAGTTAGCAGATCTTATATTTTGGCGCGAGATTCATCCACTCATTTGGCTAAATACCATTTCGGCATTATAGCGGATACCAGATCGTGATGAAAACACTAAATATGATTCCTAACCCTAACGTCCAACTGTAAATCCTAATCCTAGTTTCTCGCATTAATTTATAACCCTCATTTGAATCTAGGAAGTAGATAAACATTTGCAAAGTCATTTTAGCGTTGCGCGATGTCGTCCATAAATTAAAGTCTCATCGTAGACATTTATTGCGAATTAACATTTTACACAAGGAAATACTTGTTCAATTTAGGAAAATTGTGTACTCAGCTCAGAAATAACTAGATTAAAGTTTTTAAATGTTACAAATTAACGATACTATAATTCAGTCGACTTAAAATTGTAACAATCGTAATCACAAAACAAAGCATTATGCTTGCGTTAATAGTCTAATTAGCATACATATAAAGTAATATGAAGACGGAGTTTATCTGTAAAAATAATATGTTGTATTACGTTCAGAACAATCTGATCATTCGCAAACTTTTCATGACATTTATTTATTAAAGTACCGATAAACGTTAAATAGGAATAATATATTTGTAAAATCTCAGCGAATGAATTTGAAGTAAATCCAACGTTTCGCCTGGCAATCTGGTCCAAGCTTTTTCAAGGAATTATAATCAAACATCAAAATTATCGAATATAAATAGTTACATGGTTCTTCGTTTGATTGTACACTGAATAGGTCATCTAATCAACGTTAAAAAATGTTTAAACTAGGTATATGTATTAGTGTGTAAGAGATTTGTGATGTGAAATGATAAGTGCTAAGATAACATATTGCATATATACGTAAGCGGTCAGTGGAGGAATTTCATTCACAATATATTGTCTCCTGTCGGTGAATTTTTATGAAAACATACAATCTTTAATATATGATATGAATCATATATGTGTCACAGCATGTATAAAATGAAGATAAATAAACAAAATAAAAGAATGAATTCGAAGAGGAAGAATGTAATTTGAAACTCAATGCACACTAATACATATACCTAGTTTAAACATTTTTTAACGTTGATTAGATGACCTATTCAGTGTACAATCAAACGAAGAACCATGTAAATATTTTTATTCGATAATTTTGATGTTTGATTATAATTCCTTGAAAAAGCTTGAACCAGATTGCCAGGCGAAACGTTGGATTTACTTCAAATTCATTCGCTGAGATTTTACAAATATATTCTTCCTATTTAATGTCTTACATCAACTCGGCGCTCAAATACTGTGAAACTATTTGCTTTAATGTAGATAAAAGTTCTTATATACGATAAACTTCAATTAAGAAAAAAGTTAAGCAAATAAAATGTTGTAACTGGCGATATAAAAAACAACGTAATAATGTGGGAAAAATCATCTCATGAATTAAAATGGATTGGAGATAAATAGGTGAGGTTCAAGGTTAGGACAAATTGTTTTCATTCACAAACGAGATGCCTGAATTTTCTACTGATTAAGGTTTCTACAACTTTTAGAGTTTGATTTCGTAAATTTCTGAAAAATGATTTAAAAGCTTTTGCTAGGTCGATCCTATGACATATTTTATTTATTTATTTCAATATTGACGTCAGTTAGCTACAACGTGGGACCAGGCATACATATGCATCGGTCCAAGTTGCCATACCTCGTTAGCACAACAAGATGAACACCGGATTCATAGAAGTAGTTAATTTACTGGTGATAATATATAAAAGAAAGGTTGAGTATAAGGATATCGTAAAGGAAGGAAGACAGATATGAAGCAATTTTAATCTCAAGGTTTAAGGGAAGATAAAGAGTGTATACACCTACGCCATTGTGATGGATTCTGAGCCATGTCACCTAGAGTCTCCAACCATTGGTTACGATAGTCACGCGGACCCCAACCAGGTAGTCTGCATCTGTCAACATGGCTCAAACCGGAAGTTATTGACTTCAAGCACTGATGCCACATTTTGGTTTGACTGCCCCTAACTCTTTTCCAACCATCCCCTACACTAGTCAGCATGGTGCGTCGTGGTAATCGGTGTTCAGGCATACGTAACATGTGGCCTAACCATCTCTGTCGATGAAGATTCATGACCTCATCAACTGATTTACCATCATTCCCTAATACCTTGCGCCTAACTTCAATGTTGAAGAGCATGGTTTTTAAATCACTTAGCTTATTAGAACATTTGACACTATCTTGAAACTACTACTACCACATCACACCACTCTTGAATGTATTGTTCGATTTTTTCAACCTATATATATATATATGTATATATATATATATATATATATATATATATATATATGTTTCTGCCCATAAGAATATGAATAAATATCATCAAATATAATGCAATCGTTTATAAAATGTAAAATT